ATCAAGAAAAAGCCCGCAAAGAAGCCAGCCAAGAAGCCAGCCACGAAGGTAGGTCCACATTTGCTGTGTGGTGTCTGTCACAGCTCATCCATGTCTTTAATCTCTAGGCCGCGTCTTCTTCTTCAACTTCTAGCAAGCCAAAGCCCAAAAAGGTGACGGGCGGCAACACGGCCGCTGCAACCAAGACCAAATCGAGCACCTCTACCAAAGCCAAGAAGGCGACGACCACGGCGGCGGAGGGCAAAGCTGTATCCAAGGTATGTAGCACCATCCATCACTCTAGTAGCTCACGCAGTCACTCATAGAGGATTTTCATTGATATAAGGGCTCAAACTCTGCCTCTGGCGCCAAAAAGCCTTGACGATGTAGGAAATCGAGGTCACTCGAGCCACGTCCTATATAGTTTCATTCTTTCCTCACTATGCTACTCAAGAAGACGTCTCTCTTTCGATCATCACACAATACCGAGAAAAGAAGTAAAGAGGGCAGAAGACACGAGCGACATGAAAGTGAAGCCTACCGAGTGACCTTGCCACCATTCAGATGAAACTTGGATGCCATCGTGTCAGGTTCTACTTGATCTCTCCGTGAAAGTTTGACGAGCTTGACGTTGGTCGAGAAGGTCGAACAGGTGTGGCTCGATTGAAGATAGAGGGCAGTGTCTGTACACTGCTTCTCGCAAGTCTCTCATTTGGCTCTTGTCCAACGAAACGAGCAAGGGTTCGTTGACAACAAGGATGCACCTTGCCAAAATTTAAGCTCGCTCGCCTGCACGGCTCGGTGACACGTGGAGCGAGCGAGTGCGTGTGCGCTGGAGAGAGCGTCGACCAAACACTTTCATGGCCGACGTGTCGTCTCTCCAAGCTGATTAAAATCGCCGGCGATTAGATTCCAGAAGCTCAGAGGTCCCACCCCCTCGCCATGTCCAGCCCCCAACCCCCGCCCCCTGGGCCACATGACCAGGGACGTGGCCCTGGAGGACAGCCGCAGGCGCCAATGGGCTACGCCAGGCCTCCCCAGCAGATGATGCAGGGCCGGCCCATGCCACCCAACCCTAACTTCCAAGGTGAGACGTTGGAAATCCGTCAGCTTCTGCGTGAGGAAGATGCTCATCAGTCGGGTTTTATTGCAGGTCGACCACCTCCACCAGGACCAGGCATGCCACAAGGCAGAGCGCCCGGTGGCATTCAGCAGCCTGCCGGCATTCAGCATGCTAGGCCAAGCGTCGGGCCTTCCCAACCTGGCCCAGGTGTGAGGCCGGGAATGATGCCGCCTCAGCAGCAGGCTCCACGTCCTCCTATGGGTGTCGCGCCTCCTCAGAATGGCGCTCTGGGTCCGCGACCCAACATGCCGATGCAACCACAGCAGCAACAGCAGCAGGGGAGGCCTCCGATGCCAGCACAGACGCCGAGCCAGCAGAATCTCGCCGGCCCCATGGCTTCCATGAACCTCGGAGTGCCTGTTGAGCCGCCGGGGGCGCCCCCACCAGAACGAGGAGCAACACCAGCAGCGAGCCGATCAAAGCGATCTGCGCGCGCCTATCACCAGGATGAAGCGCCCCCGCCCATGCCGGCCGGCAATGGCGCCGGCTGGAACGACGTGCCGCATCAGCAACAGTATCCACAACAAGCGCCTCGAGGACAACAGCCCGCTTGGCAGGCGGCTGCACAAGCTCGTATCGCACAGTATGAGAACGCAGACGGGGCTGGCGGCCAAGTGGATGGGTCACTGGACCAGATTCCGGGTCAGCGCAACATGATTAGTCCCGAGCAGGCCGCCCACAACCATGCGGCAATGCGGGCTGCCGGCGGTATGGGAGCGGTGGGACAACAGCAGCAGCAACAGCACCCCGGTATGGGACAGCAACCGCAGATCCAGCAGCCGCCACACTCGGCTGGCCAGCGATTCGCAGGGCCGAGGAGCAAGATTGACCCGGACCAGATCCCCAGCCCTGTCGAGGCGCAGGATGCCGACCAGGAGTTCTTCGACCGCGAATGGTTCGCCACCTGTGGGCGTGGTGGACTGCCTCTCAGCACGACCGACTTTGGTGCCGTGGACCAGGGCAATTGCTCGCCCAAGCACATGCGCCTCACCACGTACAGCATGCCACAGACCGAGGAACTGGCCCTCACCTCGCAGCTGCCCTTGGCGATCGTCGTTCAGCCCTTTGCACAGCAGAGGCTTGACGAAGCTCCGATTCCCATCGTCGAATGTGGTCCAAGCGGGCCTCCACGGTGCAAACGGTGCCGAGCATACATTAATCCATGGGCAATCTTTGTCGAGGGAGGCCAAAAGTGGGTGTGCAACTTGTGTGGCACGGCGACCGAGGTGGCAGCCGACTACTTCTGCAACCTCGACATGCACGGGAGACGAGTCGACTTTGACGAGCGCCTGGAGCTCAGCAGGGGATCCGTCGAGTTCCGCGTGCCAAAGGAGTACTGGGCCATCCAGGCCAAGCCACCTGCCAGTGTGCTCTTGCCTGTCGCGCCGGCCAGCACAATCACTGAGACGGCCAAGCTCAGCCCCAATCCCGGCGGTGAGGGAGAGGCTTTTGCTGGCAGCACCATGGGTATGACCGGACAGGGTGGTGCGGCGGCCAAAGCTGCGACAAAGGCAGCGAGCGACGCGCTCAGCAATCTCAGCGTCGGACCAGGTCGGACTACGGTTCGAGCACCCCGGCCGATGACGTACATGTTTGCCATCGATGTGAGCTTTTCGGCGGCTCGTTGCGGAAGTCTCAAGGCATCCGTCGAGGGCATTCGCGAGTGCCTCTATGGGCCGAGGAAGCAGCCGGGTCAGGACGAGTCGGACGAGGCTGCAAACGCAGGACCTGGCTTTGGGCTCCCACATGGCAGCAAGGTCATCATCCTCACCTTCGATCGCGCTCTGCACTTCTACAACCTCCTTCCCGAGCTCGACCATGCCCAGATGCTGGTGGTGCCAGATATTGACGAGCCATTCGTGCCTCTCAGCGAAGGGCTCTTGGCCGATCCCTGGGAGTCGAGGAGCGTCATTGAGTCGCTGTTGGATAACCTTCCGAGCATCTTTGCCGAGAACATGTCCTCGGAAGCCGCGCTAGGTGCAGCAGTGCGAGGGGCACAGGCGGCCATGAGCACCATCGGCGGTCAGTGCAACATTTTCCTCTCCACCATCCCGACGGTCGGTCCAGGCGCCCTGAAGCATCGCGAGGACACGAAACTGTATGGAACTGAGAAGGAAAAGCAGCTCTTTGCGCCTCAGGATGCCTTCTACCGCGGTGTGGCCGAGGAATGCGTCGACGCGGGCATCGGCATCAACGTTTGGTTCTTCCCCAGCCAGTACATTGATGTGGCCACCGTTGGCACCCTGTGCGGCCTGACGGGCGGCGACATGTTCTTCCACCCTCGTTTCGATCCCGTCCGCGATGGCGTCAAGCTCGACGCGCAGATCAAGCGAGCCATCCTGCGCGAGTCTGGCTACAACGCGACGATGAGAATACGGTGCTCCAACGGCCTCCACGTTCAAGGCCACTATGGCAACTTCTTCCAGCGCAATACCACCGACATTGAGCTGGCCAATGTCGATGCCGACAAGGCTATCGCTGCTTCCTTCAAGCACGACGGCAAGCTCGATGAGAAGCAAGAGGCCCACTTCCAGACGGCCATTCTCTACACCTCTGCCGATGGAGAGCGAAGAGTCAGGGTCCACAACATTGCTGTGCCGGTCACGAGCCTGCTTGGCAACGTCTTCCGGTACGCCGACCTGGACAGCACCGTCGCTTACTTTACAAAGGAGTGCATCACTTTGGCGCAGTCCAAGCCGTTGCGAGAGGTGCGCCACTACCTGACGGACAAGTGTGTCAAGATCCTCCTTGCCTATAGACGCAACTGTGCCTCGTCCACGTCGCCTGGTCAGCTCATTCTTCCCGAGAGCTTCAAGCTGCTGCCTCTGTATGCGCTTGCCATCATCAAGAGCAAGGCTCTCAAGGGCGGCAATGTCACCTCCGATGTGCGGACCTACTTCATGCGATACCTCCGAGGCCTCGGGGTGGGCAACAATATGGCCATGTGCTACCCGCGAATGATTGCGCTGCACAACATGGCCGATGATGATGGCGAACCAATCAAGATTCCTCACCAGACGGAAAATGGCACGACCGAGCACATTGATGGCGCCCGCATCAAATGTCCCCCGCTGCTGCGACCGAGCTACCAGCGCATGGAGGCGCACGGTGCCTATCTCGTCGAGAACAGCGACATGTGTCTCTTGTGGCTGGGTGCGTCAGTCAGTCCGCGGTTGCTCGAAGACTTGTACGCGGTCAACAGCCTCGAGGAGCTGGACCCGAGGATGACTACGCTCCCGAAACTTCCCACGAAGCTCTCGAAGCAGGTCCGGGCTCTCGTCGCGAGCTTTGCGGCTCAGCGGCTGAAGCCGGCCTTACCTGTGCTTATTGCCAGGCAAAACAAGGATGGAACCGAGGTGGAACTTGCCAACAACCTGGTCGAGGACCAGAATAACGACGCAATGTCGTACGTCGACTACGTGAGTGCACACTTCCGTGCTTGTCTTCACTGTGTCCATCACTTATCACATTCGCACAGCTCTGCCACGTCCACCGTATCATCACAAGCGAGATGTCAGGAAACACTGGCAACTCCAAGCCAGACGACGTCGCTGGTACCGAGCACCACAGCCTCTGGAGGGGATGGTGAGAAGGCCCCATTCGGAGGCACCGTCCTCTTGTGCGCACACCGTAGGCCTGTACTTTGTTTTCCGGCGTCAAAATGAAAAAAAGAGGTTTTCTATTTCAATATTTGTGCCATGGTCCATTAGACATTCAAAGTGATTGAATCTTACCACAGGGTTAGTATTCGCCACGTGGGTGTCGTGATGGCTGCGGCTTTCGCACTAGGTGCGGACCTTCTCGAGAACGACAACGACATCGTCATTTTGTCACTACTCACCTCACGACATAGCAGCCAACATGTCTGACTCGCTCCAGTACCGCGGAGAGCTCGCCGGCCACAAGGGCTGGATCACGGCCATTGCCACGTCGAGTGAGAACCCCGACATGCTCCTGACGGCCTCGCGTGGTGAGTAGAGATGTGAAGGGCAGCGCATGACGGGCCGGACAGGGGGGTACGATGGGGGGGGGGGGGAAATTGGGGTCAAAGATGGCTAGGAAAGGGTTGATGCTAGGGAGCGGAGGCGAGGCGTGCGAGATAAAGGCTTCTCGGGAACATAGGGAGCGAGAGTCATGCGTCCCTTTTGCACAAGTCGGAAAGAGAAGGGAGAGACTGACTTTGAGGGAAAACCACAGACAAGACCATCATCGTCTGGCAGCTCACCCGCGATGACATGAGCTACGGCTACCCCAAGAGAATCCTCCACGGCCACAACCACTTCGTGTCGGACATTGTCATCTCTTCGGACGGCCAGTTTGCTCTGTCGGCCTCGTGGGACAAGACGCTCCGCCTCTGGGACCTCAACACGGGCACCACTGCTCGCCGATTCGTTGGCCACACCTCCGACGTTCTCTCCGTCAGCTTCAGCGCCGACAACAGGCAGATTGTCAGCGGTAGCCGAGACAGGACCATCAAGCTGTGGAACACGCTGGGCGAGTGCAAGTTCAACATCCAGGAGGAGGGCCACACCGAGTGGGTCAGCTGCGTTCGGTTCAGCCCGAACCCCAGCAACCCCGTCATCGTCTCGGCTGGTTGGGACAAGGTCGTCAAGGTGAGTCGATCGCATGGTGCTCTTTGGTTCTTGAAGGTGGAAGACGGAGGGGGCAAAGATGAGGAGGGAAGGACGCCGCAAAGATGAATATGGTTTTATATTTGCTACTACGGAGAGTTTCTTCGGAACCTCGGTGAGAAGAACCAATTACCACCAAGATCGCTGAGCAGCGGCAGCGGGGGGATGCTTTTCGGAACCAGCAGAGGTAGAGAAGAGTGTCACTGACCGGGTTTTGTTGTCGATGCACAGGTCTGGGAGCTGTCCAAGTGCAAGCTCAAGACGAACCACTTCGGTCACACTGGCTACATCAACACCGTCACTGTCTCGCCCGACGGGTCGCTGTGCGCCTCGGGCGGCAAGGACGGCATCACCATGCTCTGGGAGCTGTCGGACGACAAGCACCTCTACTCGCTCGAGGCCGGTGACTGCGTCAACGCCCTCGTCTTCTCGCCCAACCGCTACTGGCTGTGCGCGGCGACGGCCTCCTGCATCAAGATCTTCGACCTCGAATCCAAGTCGATCGTCGACGAGCTCAAGCCCGAGTTCGTTGGCGTTGGCAAGAACTCGGCTGACCCCGAGTGCCTGTCGCTGGCGTGGTCTGCCGACGGCTCGACGCTCTTCGCTGGTTACTCGGACGACAAGGTCAGGGTCTTCACCGTCGGCTAAACAGTAGGATAGCTTCTCTTGTTGCACCAAAATCATCTCACCTTCTGTTCTCGCTCGGCCATGTTCTCTCTCACATCCACGCCTTGTATGCATAACCACCAGACCCTGAAAAGAGACGGGGAGGGCGGCCGCCCTCCCTTATGACACCGATCTTCTCTCATGAGACCATAATGCTCAATGCTCTAGGATGACTAGTGTTACATGATGTTGTTGAACTCCTCTTCGACCTGGTTCATTTCTCGTTCCACTGTCCTGATTGACTTTTCCAAAATTATGCCTTGACCTTTCCGATACACCATGACATTGTCCACGACAGCCCGTCTTAGCGTTGGGATCGAGGCAATCTTGTCAATCCTGGTCTGCGAGTTTAAGAAGGCCGCATTCTTGGCCTCGAGCAGCTCCAAGATGACTTCGAGCGCCTCTCCCCTCGTCTGCAGTTCGTCTTCCATCTGTCCATCACCGTCGCTAGCCTGCTCCATAGGAGGAAGCAATTCGATGACTTCGGCCAAGAGTGACGGCGGGCAGGTCGTATCGGTGATCTTCCAGAAGTGCTGCTTCTTGCCATTTGGCAGGACAATGCACGACGATGCTGCCTGCCCGTCCGAGGCTTCGACAACGCCCGGCCGGATCGAGCGAGAGGTGGAGGACTGCTGTGGGCTGTTGACCGGGGCGGACGACGTTTGGGTGATGCTTGTGGGAGCTGGTGCTCCACTACCGCCGAGGACGAGGCTGACAACGTCGTCTTGCATGGCCGGATCGACAAAGGCGTACGAGGCAAGGAAGTCTTCATTGGGCTTCGGGCCATAAGAGTTGAACACCTGCTGGCCTTTAGAAAGACCGTTATGAATTGTGAGCGTCACCTTCGCCTTTTCGCTGGCGCCTTTCTCGACAGCAGACGGCTCGTGGTAGGTCCAGGTGACGGAGGCTTGGCGTGCATGATTGAAGGCGTCAAGACCTGGGATCAGGATCGGTCCCGTCAAGCTTTGCTCTCGAGGCTGGCCCACCAAACGAGGAGGGAACGCACGCGAATCGACAATGGTGGTGGCCCAACGAAAGACTCTGAGCGGTTTGTATGCCTCTTCGTCCAGATCCCACGACTGGGCTTCTCTCTCGTGGCTAAATAGAGAGCTCTCGTCTTCGTCAATGGCCGCGACGAGAGGCTCGAGCACCGCTCTCAGCTGTGCTCTGTCTGTACCCGGCTCGTCGCTATTCAATCGGGCCAACAACCATCGAACTGCTTTGCTGCAGGCTCTCCGAGTGTCTCGTCGACATTCAAGCGCATGGTAGTATAAAGGCGTGCCCACGAGGAGCTGCAGTTCATCTTTGCTGAAATGGAGCGGCGTCGGGACGTCAAGAGGCAAGACGTCGATGTAGGGAGCTCGGTCGAGGAGAGCGTCAAGCGTCGTCGGACTTTTCACCACGCTGCACGAAATGATCAGCAGCCGAATCGCTAAGGGACCTTTTGTCATGGGCTCACCTCTCCCTCGCCTTCTGTAACGACACTCCTTCTCGACTCTGGCCTTTCCTGCTTTCGAGCGCTAACCGGACCAAAAAGACATATAGCGCGACCCACTCCTTCGCCTGAAGCTGCAATTCGTCGCCGCCAGAGCCATTGTCGCCTTCATCTGTTCCCTTCGAGAAGCACCGTCGAATGGTCTCCCTAGCTTCCCATGGTGTGATCACTATGTCAACAGGCACTTCGACGGCCACGACATCGTCACCTTGCCCTTCGTGGTTGTGTCGAGAGAAGAGCGAGAGGCCCGTTGTTTCATCGTTGGCAAAGTAAAGGTCTCGATGAAATTTGCCACCTCGAGACTCGAGCCAGGTCGTAAACGCTTCGATTCGCAATCGCTCAGCTTCAGACAAGCTCGTCACCGGCGGAGCCGCCGCCACCGCCGCTGCCGTGGTCATTGTCGGTGCACTGTTAACTACGGGAAGGTCGAACCAGTCTATGAGCTTATTCTTCTGCTTATGTAACGGGCGATCATGTCGTACTCGGTCCTATTCCTCTACATCATCCATGAGAAAAACGAGGTTTAAAGATATCGTATTCATGTGCTTATGAATCGTCTAAATTATGCATGACAGGATTCATCAACTCAAGTCAGGCTTCTTCTCTTTGAGCTCGAACTCCTCGACGGGCGCTTCCTCCCTCTTGGCAGCCGGCTTCGTCGAGGGCGCTGCCGTTTCCCTCAGCATCGCAGGTTGCGGAAGAGGCTGGCTGAAGTGGTTTCGCAGCTGCTCGTCGGCCAGTCGATGTACCTCTCGTCCCACAGCCTTGGAAACCGACAAGATGGGGCCGCTCATGTTGAGTTTCCAAACAACGTAGGCGCCTGCGAGGCAGAGGACCAAGAAGGTGAAATAGAGAGGGGATCGTACCACTGCCATGAACTCGTTCCAGCCGAGCGCGACCATGACACCGTAGATCCAAACAGGCACTTGTGCAATCGAGGAGACCATGCTTCGCTTTGCCTCGACGTAGTAAGCATCAGCCTCTTTGCGGAAGCGATTGGCGACTTCGACTTTGCGCGTCTCCGAGAAGAGATTGAGAGTCGACGGGAAATCAAATTCCTCATCTTCACCACGCTCCACCATGGCAGCATGGGCAGGGTCCTCCGAGGTTGAGGGAAGTGAGACGGCCAGGTTTCGATCTGTCGGCTCAATCTTGGCGTAGATGGGCACCAGAGCTACAGTCTCGTCGCGCGCCTGCCTGAAAATGCCATCGATGTCGTCGTCTGGCTTCCAAACACGGGGCACTCCCTCATCGTCATATCGGAAGCGGTCCTCGAAGACGCTTCGTAATTTCGACATGAGCACCGTATCGGCCGTCTGCTCGTCAACCTTGGCGCGCAGCGCCAGCCAAGCTCTCCGACGGAGCGAGCTCAGCGCGACGGTGTTCTCCTCTTCGGTGCAATTAAAGCCTGCGTAACTCTGTGATTAGCAGATTGTGACAGAGAAGACTTCCGACGACACCCACTTTTCGCCTTCTTCAGGTAGCTTGACTCAGCTTTCTCCATGCTCTCGCTAAAGGAGCGCAGTACTTTGTCCCACATGTCGGTGCCTGGTCGTGCGAGGGCGAGCTCAACGGGCTCCGAGATCTCCTTCTTCAGTGTTCGCTCGATTTGCGTCACCATCTTTTTGGTTTCCTCTGCTCGGCACTGGTCGGCGATCTGCGTGACATCTTCGTTGAATTGAGCGAGCTCTTCGTCGATTGTCCAGTCCGTATCGGCCAGGCAAATTGCCGTGCTCGCAGCCCTGAAGGTCAATTCGGCCTTGGACTTTTCCCCTTCGACAACCTCGGCAAAGTCGTAATTGTCGCCCTTGAGCCTTCCAAGGACCGACTTTTTGAAAGAAGCTAGGATTGCCTTGTGAAGATTCTTGAGCTGCCCCAGGAAGAAGGGCGAGAGGGCCGCGTTGAGCTTTTCGAGCAGCTCAACGCGCTTCTTCTTGTAGACATCGGCATGGTATCTGGAGGCCTCCTTATCGAACTTCGCCAACGCCATTGACCTATGAGTTCCCATGTCCGCTCCCAGGGCCTCGAGAACGGAGCCGGCCTCGATCGGCTTGCGGAAAGCCTTGATCTCGGTTGCAAATGCGCCAAAGGCGACGCTGGCGATCTCGTCACATCGGAATTGGGCCAAGAGCTCTTGTTGAGTAGGCAGGTCGAGATCTTTGTTGGTGACGACTTGTTCCTGCAAGTCCATACATATCAGTCAGTGCGTCCTTGCTCTTGCCTCTAGGAAGAGGAACGTACCCAGATTGTCTCAAGATAGCGAGGCAGGCCATCGGCTGGGATACGTTTGTGGTACTCTGGCTTGAAGATGAAACCTTTGCTGTTACGATCCGTGAATCGAGTTCGGAGCTGTAGGACTTGCTTGTCAAACTCTTGAGGTTGGAGAAGCTTGTGTGGGAGTGTGGTAAAGTCAAAGTCGAAGAAGTCTTCGATTCTGCTGGTCTCCAAACCTTCGGGCTTGTGAAGTCGCGGTGATCAGCTTCGATGCCGGAAGAATGACCGGGAGGAGAGCACACACCTTGGAGAGCGAATCCCAGATCCGGTAGAGGTCCGCCATGAGGGTCGCGCGAAGATTCTCGAGCGGCGTGGCTCCAATGTGATCTCGGATGACGAAGAAAATTAATGTCTTGTCCTTCCCAGAGTGGCTATATTTGCCCTCTTCCCATCAGCGTCATCTTTGTCCTTGTCAAGTGAATCCCACTCACTTCTTGGCCTTTGAAGCCTGGAAAAGGCCCAGATTGACCTCAAAGACGGTCTTGAGGAGGCCCATGTTGGCGCCTTGATACAGGCCTACCTGATGCTCCCACATGTTCACGAGAAGACACTCGGCGCTGGCCATGCTGAAGAGCGCCGACTTGCGCTCGAAGTCCTGGTCCTCTCCTCGCTCCCTTCCATCGGACCCTTCCACGTCCATGACCAAGACTGGCATCGACACGCCTCGACACATCCAAATGCCTGGTCGCAGCCATTATCAGGACATCGAAGGACACTGTAATTTACCCAGGAGCTCAAATCACCCACCTTTCGTTGTCTGCCTCCTCTGTGATTCGTTCATGACATCAAATGAAGTCCCGAAGAGCTTGTTCAGGAGCGTTGATTTGCCCGTCGACTGGCTCCCTGCGCGAAGAAGTCGGTCAGAAGCGCCCTTGCCATGTAGCTCTGACCAAGCTTGAATACCCACCGACGACTGCACAGAGATCGTAGGCGAAGCCAGCATCGGCCAAATGCCATTTCTCGAGGTATTTGCCCACATCGCTATTAAACTTCTGGTCCTCGTCAACGAGCTGCATCCTCTCTGCCTGGCCTGCCGTCTCCAGTGACCCATTCTCGTTTGCCGAGGCGGCACCATTGGTATCAAGCTTGGGCTGCAAGGCCGCAGCCGACTGATTTGCAAGACCGCCCGTCATGGCGCCGGCGGCGGCCGTCGCGACACCAGCGACGCCCGTGGCGAGACCTTGTCGAGCCTCGTCGAGTGCAGCTTTCGCGTGCGAAGAGGCACCGTCGAAGGTCGAGTCGCCTTCGTCTCCAGTCTCACGAAGCAGCTGTTGAGCCGAAGCAATGTTCGTCTCCATGGTCGGTCGTCAGCTCGCGTCTCGGTGTTGCTTTCAACGAAGAGGTGGGTTCAATCAAATACAACACATACAAGCCCCGCGCAAGACTACCTCTAAAGTGCACGTGGCGCAAAGGCGCTGGCGGGTGAAAGGACTCTCTCTGCTTGACAGCTATGGCAACGCAGACCCAAGATCCTCGCGATTCCTGTCTGAGACTAAAGGGAATGATATCGACGGTCTCCTGCTTCCGAGATCTTTGCCCCGCTCGCCCTAGTTCACATCAATCATTGAGGTCGTGCTCTCCAAAGGCCGTAACCTCGTCTTGGCGTGAAGCAGAACAATGACCCTTTCCTACGATTGCCACCCTTAGCCCGTGCTGCTTGTGAGAGCTACTTGTGAGAGAGCGCCCGATGTGCTCCTTCGCACCGCACCAACAGAAGTGGGCATCAGCTGTGCTCGCTGGGCGATATGGGCGCTTTCTAAATTATCCCCTCCATGCAGTCGTGGCGGTGAAATCGCTGCGTGATGAAGACGGCAAGATCCGTACAATTTGCGGTCCCCTAATCAGAAACGCACAGGCCTATTATTCCTGGTGCCTGTACAATCGGTGGGGCTGATAGCGGTACAGCGCTGCAAGGTCTGCGAAACTTTGCATCTCACATCAGCGACGAAGGGTTGCAGTTGCACAACCGCCACCGCGGGAGGCTTTGCAAAATTAAGGATCTGATGCTGCTCATGCCAGGCAGGAGCGCTCTTTGAATCTGGAAAACTTCCTCTTCACGCTCCCCGCGCCCATGCAGAAGACGGCTGCTTAATGAGTGAAATCTTTCCTGATGGTCGGCCAATGGTCGGACGAGCATCGGGTGCAGCAATGCCGTCCACGTATACTATTACCCCGTTTCCCCCACTAGGTCATGGGCGAACTCCACCTTTTCTCGTTTCGTTCGTGTCCCGGCGAGCGTGTCGACTGGACAAATACAAAACATCTTGTTGGGGCACAGGATTTTTGTACTTTATGTCTCTTTTTTTAAACTTTTCTAAATTCAATGGCCTGTCGGTGCCTACCCTACCCTTCCGTTTTTTTCTTTTTCTCGTCGACCGCCGTACCGTCCATCTGTCGCACCTAGCTGAGCAACAAAACCGGCCAGCTCGCTACTAAGAACGGCACACTGAAGCGCTACTCGCCAGAGGCCTGCGCCATTTCGAGATTGGTTCGTTATCGTTCTCGAGCCACGTCAGCCGCACAGATTTGCGAGGGCCTATCTTTCTTCGAAGTTCCAGCCGGGTCAATGGGAGGGCGCAACACTGGCACCTAGGCCTTCACTCTCAACTATCCCTCCTCCATCTCGCTCGCGCTCGCGCTCTTCTTCTTTCTTCTCCCCATCCAACTTCTTGCCGGAGCCTTGCTGGTTCGGTCAGGCGAGGAGCAGCACACTATGGCCAGCATCCAGGCGCTCGAACAAATACACCACCCATTCGGCAGCAGTTCGGGTGACGACGCAGACTCGCCGCCGAGTCTCACTCACAGCAGCGATTCGCCCCAGTCGACGGCCGAGGAATCATCGCCCCAGCATCACCAGGACACCGTCATGGGTCAGCACAATGTTCACCCCGCGGTGTCAAAAAACGACTTTCACGCGTCGTCGTCATCGTCGTCACCGCAGGCCATCAGTGGCACCTTTTCGCCTCTGAGCAGCGCCTGGTCCGACGAACGACGCAGCAGCAGCCAGGTTAAGGACGACTCAATGACGTGGGAGTCGGCTTTTTCGCGGATGGATGAAGTCCGTCACGGCAGCGAAGACATGCGCCAGCCGAGCTACTCGAACACCGCCGCCACCTCGCCCTCGTCGGTGGATCACGAAGTCCAGCTCAGCAGCGCCCTTTCCAACGGGACCAGCCTGCAGGCATGGGCATCGGAGCAGTCGCAGGGCAGCGTCAGTGCGCACAACTATGGATGGAACAATGACAATGACGAGGCTATGTTTGACTCGCTCATCCAGGAAGACAGCTTCGAGTGAGTGGGGCCTCTGGCCGCCAGGAAATTAATTCTTTGGGCGTCGACTGACTCCCAAAACCCCAATTTCACAGGCAAACGACGTCACCAACAAGCACAAACGTCGCTTCGCCGGTCAGCAACAGGATCGCACCGCAGCTTGCCAAAGCGCTCTCCATCGACACGGCACCCAGCTCTCTACCGGCGCCCGTCAAGGAAGAGCCGAGCAGCAGCGAGCCAACACCGTCTCAGACTGCTCAGGCTTCCGACGGTGATACGCCCTCCCGACGGTTGTCAGATGCAGCAGCAGCAGCCTCAACACCGTCACAGCAGCCTCAACCACCTCGGACCAAGCTCAACGTGCCCCACTGTGGCTCCCACTACAGCCACACTACCGATGCCGACCTGCCGAGCTCGTCGACCATCATTGTCAGGCCGCCACGGAGCGAGCTTCAGAATCTTCAGGTACACGTCCATGGCATCGCCTTTGCTGGGGCCAAGTCTCGCGTTGAGACACAGATTCGCACGCGCATCGAACTCGTCAGGCCGGTGGGAAGCTCGTCTGCATCGCCCCCTTCGCAGGAGGGAGGAGGTGCTTGGGAGCGCATTGGCTCCTTCAACCATGTCAAGCTACCGCCGCTGACGGGAACGAAGAGAAAGTCTAAGAAGCACAAGCCGACGGACATCGCAGCTGAGAAGACGCTTTTCATGGACGCAACCGTCGTTCGCGCTACGCCACCTCACAACCGCATCTACGTCTGCAACAGCTGCCAGCAGCGAGAGCGCAAGCGGGCGCAGCGCAAGCGCGTCAATCACAACAAGGACCCCGGCGAAGGCGAGGGGGAGAAGTATTCGGTGGAGGACATGAAGGAGTTCGGAGTGGACCCAAGTTCTCCCGATGCTCAGCAGCAAGCTGCCCGGCGAGCAAAGGAGGAAGACGAGAAGCGTGTCGTCGTCTTCAACTGCGGTGACTTTGTCAACTTTGAGGACGGTGCCTGCGTCCTCCCCACCAGGATCACCTGCTACTGTCGACACCACGCCGAGAAGACGGGCTTCTGCCTCATCTTTACGATGCGAGACTACCGCGGCAATCTCATCGCCACCGGATCGACACCACCGATCATGATTACCGATGATCACAAGTCGGTCGCAGCCGCTCAGCTTGCCGCCGCAACAACAAGCAGCACGAGCGGCAGCAACGGCACCAATGGCAATGTGGGCTTGGGTGGGCCTCAGCTCAAGACGGTGGAGAGCGGCTCGCGAAGCCGTGGCGCTTCTGCCGAGGGCGAGGAGGACCCAAGGAGGAGGGGCAGTCAAGGGCGGAAAAAGAACCGCTCCAAGCCCTACGGTGACGCAGAGGACCGAGCACAACGAAGAAGCGCGTCCTCTTCGAGCCACGCCAACTCGCTCTCCATGACGCCCTACTCTGGCGCCACGACTCCCGCAGTGGGCCAGTCGCCTAGATCAGCCTCTGCAGACATCAACCATCCTGATTTCTGGACTGCGTTCGCTTCCATGTCTAATGCCGGTTCGTCCCAGTTGCCTTCTTCTTCGAACGGCGTGCCCTTGGAATGGGTGCAGCAGGCAGCCAACGACGCTTCGTTGTCTTCCCAGACACTCAACTTCAACCCTCAGAGTATTCCCAATTTCGACATCAACTCCTTCGCACGTTCTCTTCAGCAAAATCAACCGCAGGCTCACGAGCAGCCGTCGGTCAGCGACGAGGCGACGATGCAGCAGCTTATGGCGTTGGCTCGGTCGTTGCCTGGCATGCAGCTCATGCCTGGTACAGGTAGCTTTGCCAACCCTCCAATGCAGCAAGACCACAACCGCTCACCGCCACCGGCTATCTCAAAGCTCATTCCGGGCGAAGGACCCATCAGTGGCGGCATCGAGGTCACGGTTCTGGGCGAGAACTTTGTCGATGGCCTGACGTGCCTCTTTGGCGACCAACCTGCCACTAGCACAAAGGTGTGGGGTGCCAACACACTACTGTGCATCCTCCCTCCCAGTGCATCGCCTGGCCCAGTGGCTGTCACGATCAAAGGCGAACAGGAAGATGGCAACGCAGGCCGCAGTCACCCTCTGCAGCTCTTCACCTATACCGACACGAACGATCGCGCACTTATGGAGCTTGCGTTGCAGGTGGTTGGGATGCAGATGACGGGCACGATGCAGACAGCCAGAGATGTAGCCATGCGCGTTGTTGGCTCTGGTGGCGGTGTATCGATGGGAAGCAATGGCCAGCAGTCCAATGGTGGCAGCAGCGGCAGCAACAACAGTCTCGCACGCGACGCGGTCGCTGGTCTGTTCGGTGGAGCCGGATCCTCATCTACCTCTTTCCAGAGTAGCGTGATCCAGTTCCTCTCATTGCTCGACGTGGAAGAGCACTGCCGGCGCAGAGATGCCATCCGGTTGGCTAATCGTCAGGGCCACACTCTCTTGCACCTGGCCGTTATGCTTGGCCACCATCGACTCGTCCAGAATCTTCTTGCTCGAGGATGCCCTGCCAATGCTAGGGACCACAACGGTTATACGGCCCTGCACTTTGCCGCGCTACACGGACGAATGACGATTGCCCGCCTACTTCTGGCCCATGGCGCGCGCGACAATGTCATGTGCGAAGAGGGCAAACTCGCCATCGAGGTGGCCCGCGAGAGGGAGCAGGTCGATGTCGAGCTTCTCCTCGAAGACAATCTGTCGATCTCTGCTGCTGCCGTGCTCGACGAGAATGCAACGACATATGGCAGTATAAAGGACTCTGGCGTCTCAATGGGCGGCGACTGGTCTGACGACGGATCGGCCGAGATCGACGAAGGGAACATCAGCTCCTCGCTCGACGATGATGACGAGCTTCCGTCGTTTGACGCCGAAGAGGATCAAGACTCGGACGATGTTGAGGAATCTGAAGACCAAGAGTCTCCGACACCTCGCGCCTCTCTTTCCGTGTCACACGATGCATCCGACGAAAAGAAAGAAGTTCCGCCATCTTCATCGCCCACCACGGAGAAGAGAAAGTTGCTCGAGTCGACGCTGGGCCTCCGAGGGCTCGTCACCGGGGGGCTGGACCTCGCTAACAAGCTGCAGCAGCTCCCCGAGCTCATGCCTGCGCTCCACGATAGATTCCATCACATGCATATGCAGCTGCCCGCCGTGCCAGTCTTCCATCTCGCCCTGCCTGCAACGCCCAGCTTCATGACAGCGCGACAAGTCGAAGGTGGAAATGCGAAGGGGAAGATGAGGGAGAATGACGACGAGGAACACGAAGCGGAACACGATGAGAGGCGCGGAAGGGTGCTCTTGAGCGCTTGGAGGAATATCGTCGAGGAGAGCGCCTCCTGGATCAACCCGCTGTATTCACCTCCTCCTCCGACCTACGAAACCGCGCTGGCGTCGCACCCTTCGACTTTGTCGTCGACAACGTCGGAGAAGAGCGTCGCCTCTACCTCTCATGAACAGCGGCCTTCATCTCACAGCCGTTTCCCCGCCATCGCTCAGCCCTCGCCAGACTCGCCGCACAAGCGCCTCCGTCCAAGCTCGTCAGGGCGGAGCAGCACATGGCATGGCTCGATGGACAAGGCATCTCCGTCCTCGTCTGCCCTCAACGCTCGTCCCTTCTCTTTCTCCACCAACCTCTTGTCCGCATCTACTTCTTCTTTGGCGACTGGCTCCACCCCAGCCGCAACGGCGATGGCGCCACCTTCAAGGAAAAAGGGAGCGTCGCTCAAAGAAGATCGAATGTTGGTCTACTTCTGGATCCCCACGCTCGTCTTCGTCGCCTTTGTCCTGATCTTTGCGAGCCCCAGCTCCGTGCTGAGCTTCAAAGACTTGACCAGTTACATTCCCAGCGTCAACCCTCGATGAGCAGTCTTTCTATTCTCATTCTTTCTTCTCCTGATGGATTGTTTCCATTTCCTATTGTTGAATGGATCTGATCGATGTATCCATAAATTAATCTCTGTCTTTTCCGGGCTCGGAATCGGCTACTTTACTCCTAGTAAATTGGTATTTGTGCTTGCACCGCTATCGAAGCCTGCTTGAGGACCAGTGTCCCAATTATCCTTCGGTCTCTGTTATCAAGAGGCTGCCATTTTCCATTGGACAGTGTGCTCTCTCTCTTCCATTCCCACTTTTCCCAGCCGCCGGTGCTCGCTACAAGCATTGCCATAATCTACAACGAACGACAGTGGTCAACGTTCGAGCAGGCGTCTCCCACTTCCGCATGGGTCAGCAGTGGCTTGTTCTAGCTGCTGCCTCTGTCATCTCGGCCGCTGATCATTCCGTTGCATGAAGCAGAAAGGTGAGTACTACCACACGTACTGCGTCCTGTGAGTGGTCTAGAATGCGACTCGACAGAACGTGCGCAAGTCCATGCACCGAAGCCACCTTTGGGTCCTCGCTCCTCCGCTTCCTTTCCTTTTTCAACTCCGCCGGACAAGCCTTGGTCCCTTCCGACGGCTTCTTTGACGTGTGCCTCTCTTCTCTCTTCTCTCTGTGACGCTAGCAGTACTGCGCCATTCTTGCTTCGCCGCAAAGGCGAGGCAGGTAATAAGCAGGTGGACAGGAGAAAAGAGCTGAGACAAAGGCCGGATCGGAATTGGAATGGACAGCTCGAGCAGGGGAGGAGTCCGTGCGAGGGTCTGGAATAGAAGGGAGGTGTGAGCTAAAAGGAAAAAGAAAAGCCCCGACGCAAAAGTCCAGACCTGGGATCTGATTCTCAATTGTCGCTTTGGCCTAGGAAGTCTAAACATTCACAGGCGAATCGAAGCCCGAATCTCTAGACTAGACTACAAAAAGTTTTTATTACAGAATTGTGGCAGCAGTATTCGAGTCAGTGATACGTACTGATCCCATCTTGCTTTTTTCTTGCAGCATTTGAATACGTATTGCGAAACGCATTCGAGAGCGCAGCGCCAAGAAAAGCTGAGACAAGAGGGAGAGCGCGCGGGCTAGGGCATGCAATGGCGGTGACCAAATATAGATCAGCGGAACTCTTGATTGAGCGAGGCGAGGGTGCAGGGTCTGGTCGTGTCAGTCAGCAACAGACGACGACGGAAGCAGACTCAACAAGAACATCAGGTGAGCATCACGACTACCTACACTACTGCCTGGGGGACAGAAGTGGAGTGTCCCGCTCAAGGCAAGTGTCACTTCTGGAGGCTAAAACGCGGGCGTGGGTGTCTGTCAACCGGATCCAAAAATCTAAAAAAGAAGTGTCAGCGGCGTCTGCCTCAGGCCACTTTTGCGACGACGAAGACCAATCGACTGTGACGTCGTCCAGCCCGTCTTCGGCTTCAACGCTGACCGCGAAAGCTGGTGAGTGTCAGCCTCTCCCTGTTTCCCTTGGTGTGGGCGCTCCCCCTTCGCGGCAATGAGTAACGGCGCTCGGAAGAGATCTCCGGCTTATGCGTGTACAGCCACTGGTTCATTGACAAAGAAGACCTTGTGCAGGCCGCTCTATACCTCGCGCTGCAGCTTCGTTTCGCCCCACAGCCCGACTAGTACGGCGAACCGACGAGTGGGAAGTCGCCAGGCCAGCTTGGCTGTCGCTCTCGTCCTCACCTACGGCAACCCCTTGGCATCTTGAATCGAGCAATCAAGATCGAAATCCAGGAATTGGAGGGCGCAGGGCGGAGCGTCCAGCCGAGTTTCCCCCCGCCGGCGCTTCAACTTCTGGCTTGGCATTACGTCTCACGTCACCCTTACTGACCTCACTCTTGACCAAGGACGCCTTTGTCTCTGGGAAAAAGACACGAACAAGGCACCAGCACGGCAGTCCAACCGGTCCAAGCAGAGACAGGATACCCATCGTCAGCGTTTTCGACGAAGCCGGCGCATACATAGACGACGAGGACAGAGGGGAAGAGCGTCAGGCGGGCCATCAAAGCGACCCACACTGTTATCCTTCGCCTCGACGAAGAAATCAGCACACAGAGGCAGCAGCACCTCCTAATAGGCAACGCTCGCCTCGAGCACTGCTGAGGCGACTGTCCAGCACGATGCTGGCCGCACCCGCCGCTTCTCCCATGGCCACGCCTTCGCCTTCGACGCCTCGCTCGGCCCCCATTGCGGTGCCTGCCGGCCCCCCTCATGCTGCATCATTCTCTTCTACTTCGTCCGACCAGGGCGGTGAGCCGTCCTCTGCGATGGGCGACGCCGGTGCTAGCACGTCAAGTCTGGGCATCGCGTCGTCGTACAGCACCTCGTCACCTAACACCGCCTTTGGTCTTCCAAAGCAGCAGCATGCCGCCTCCGCAATCGGCTCAGGATCGACGACGACGGGCAAAACAACGGCGACCACTAATGGCGGAGGAGAAAGCTCGAACATGGTTCTGCTGCCCAATGGAGCCTACGGCCCTCGCAACCCGATCCTGCTCAACCCGCTCAAGAAGCAAGGCATCCTCGACCAGTGGAGGAACGAGTTTGGTAACGTGGGTCCTGCGCTGACGGTGCTCCGCATCCCTGCCGTACCGACGCAGAAGGAGCGAGAAAAGGAGCGAGAGGAGCAACGCGTGCGAGAAGCCCTGGCCAGGGAGCGAGAAAAGGAAATGGAGAGGGAGCGGGCAAGAGAGCGGGAAAGGGAGGCTGAAGAGAGGGTCTGGGGGATACCCAAAAAGGCCTTTTACCTCGGCTTGGGGGACATCAACTTCAACTCGCAGATGGCCATGCTCGGAGGATGGGGCAGTGGGACGGGACCGGCGACTGATTTCAGACCGACGCAAGCTTTGCAGCGGCGGGCGTCTGCAGGTGGACGGTCTTCCAAGGACTCTGCTAGACCGACAAGCAAAGATGGCAGGCCGATGAGCAAGGATGGACGAAGTAAGGAGAAGCGAGTACGCGACCGTGAAAGAGAGAAGGAGAAGGAGAAGGAGAAGGAAAGGGAAAATGAGAAGGAAAATGAGAGACTCGAGAAGGAGCAAAAAGAGAGGGAACAACAGGAAGAGGAAGAGGACAAGCCGATGGACCCGGAAGAGCTGGCGGCCCTCAACGCCATTATCAACACGAGACGGAGCATGGCGGCTGCCCAGGCGCTCGCAAGTGGGCAAGTGAAGCCAACTCCCAGCCGGCGGAGCATGAGCTACGGCCGAAGTGGTTCTGCTTCAACTGCATTAGGCACATCAGCCCAGTCGACGAGGCCAGACCTGTCCGAGACGAGGGATGACAGCCGGGAGAGTGTTCCCTCGGTCTCTGCCAAGCCAGAAGACGGCTCGAGTGTCGAAAAAGCTACCGAGTCATCGGAGGTATTTGAGGACGAAGGGCCGCGGATCCGGTTTGCCCCCTTGCCATTGCCCTACGGCGGCGTGGTCGACGGCGAGGCCGGCTATGAGGGCAGCGCTGGGCCCATCAACATCGAAAGCAGACAGACGGCGTTGGCAGATGGTGACGCTGTGTCAATTAGTGACGATGAAAGCGACAGCGATGGTAGTGATGACGACGAAGGCTGGAATCGCCGATGGAGTACACTAGGTGTGGGCAAGGGCAAATGGTGAGCTGACCTTCGGCATCGAACACCTCTTCTTGCTTCTTGGCAGGAAAGAAGCTGACTGCACAAACAGGTATCTCATGGGAATGCCTTCAAGCGTCTTCAAGCCTCAGAATTACCGATCATCGCTCAAGAGAATGTCGACTGGATCTGGTGCGACCATCGACCCGCTCGAGGGCGAGCTTCCCTCGGCGGATATTCAGGAGAGGAGAATGTCTACTGGCGCTTTGTCTACCTCGCCCTCAGAGGCGATTGAGAGGCGTGGTCGGAGAAAACAGCGGCCGAGAGGAAGGACGTCCAGCAGAGCCAGCTCTGTCAAGTCGAGATCTTCGAGCGTAGGATCAATGGACGAAGAAGACCGTCTGAGAAGGAGGGAACTCATTCGTGCCTCTCGACCGGGAGGCACCGGCATGGTGACGCTGCCTGATGGCACGCGCATCAAGGCTCGTCGCGTCGGTCAGCAGCAGGGCGATGCCGCAGCCGCTGACCCTACCGCGGCAACTGAGGAACCCCAGGACGACTTCATCGAGTGGGGATTTGCCGGACTTGCCCGAGAGGCGCGCAGGGAGCACAAGCAGGAGGAGGCCGCCGACGCCGACGCCGACGCAGATCCAGGCGAGCCACAGAGACCCGGATCAGCTACGGGAGACAAGCGTGCCTCCGATGACGAAGGCGGTCGCTCGAGCGATATCGACGACGGATCAGGCATGGCTTGGGTCAAGAGGAGGAGACGAGAAAGAGAAGAATCGCGCACCAGTGCCGATGCTGCCGACAGTCCTCCTCCTCATACTGCTCACGACGAGCAGGAGCAGCATTTCCGAGAGCACAATGACGAAGGTGCCACCACTGCCAAAACCTCGGCGTCTGTTCCTGTCCCTGCTCTGTCAGTGTCCCCTGCTGACCAGGACGGCGAAGAAATTTCTATTGTCGCCCAGGACTCCATCGACGATCTTGCTTCCAAGAAGCCACCACAAGCTGTACCCCCTCCAACGAGAGTGGAAAGACCGCTGGCTGGTGCCAAGGCCGATGCTCCCACGCGATCTCAAACGCTGGATCGCACCGCAACGATGCCGAAATTGTCCGCTCAACAAGCTGCAGAGGTGCGCAGACGTCACGAAGAGGAGGTTGCCGCTCTGGGCGCAGAAGTGCTCGACCACATTGCGAAGCAAAAGGCTAAGGCGCAACAACAACACCAACAACAGCAGCAGCAGCAGCAGCAGCAGCCACATCATCCGCAAGCACAGCACCAGATGCAAGAAAAGCAAGCATCTCAGCCACAATCCCTTCCTCAACACAAACCGGCTCAGCCTCAAGCTCCAAGCATGCCGATAGAGACGGCAAGTGTGGACAAGGGACCAAAAGAGCCAGTGAGCAAGCATACGGAGCGCAAGCTGCCGCCGCAACGCAGAGAGTCAGCCTTCGCCAAGCTTCGTCGGGGCTCGTACAGCTCCAATCAATCCAACGAATCGAATGCTAGAGGTTCTAAACTGAACTCCAGGACCTTGTCGAAGGACTCGTCTGAGGATAAAGCTTCGACACCGAAACGCGTTGGCACTCCGACCGGTCCCAGCTCATCTTCGTCCCCTCGTGCCCGTTCGCTGCCTCGCGTTCCTCAACCCGGGGGCCCTTCGCTTACTGGTCTTACTGTGTCCTCAGAGCCTGATGATATGGAAGAGCTGCTCAATTCGACCATGCTTGTCCACGACGAACTCAGTGCTCCAGCCTCCGCCTCCACGGAGAAGGACTTTGGCGAGCAGCAGCAACAGCAGCAGCAGCCGACTCAAGTGTCTTCGTCGGATCGCAAGCATGCCGCCTTACTGGAGAGGACGCCATCAAGTGCAACAGCATCTACAGATCTTAGCAGCAATGTGTCATCGTCCTTGGAGGATCATCGACCTTCGACGAGCGTGGTCTCGACGTCACCTTCGGCCCAGCTCTCCCCCAATAAGGATCCGCATGCGCTCTCTTCATTACGGAAGAGCATCTCAGCCACTCGCTTGTCTTCCCCCTCGGAGACGCGCCTATTTGCCGATCCCTCCATCAGCTTGCCGGTTCCATCCCGCCTCTTGCCGCGTCGCCCTGATGCGAGGGGATACGCGGTGGTTCCTCTTCCCGGAGACCAGCTCGGCATCCGACCCAATCGACCTCGCGAAGGCAGAGTCTGGCTCTTTGACTCAGACGAGGACAGCGACGTTGACTCCAGCAGTGGAGAGGACGGGGAAGTGACGGAAGATGGCACTGCAATGAGAAGAAAGGGCGAGACTGGAGCTGCTTCTGCGGCGGGCCACGAAGAGGAAGAGGAAGACGACGACATGGATGCCGAGGAACTGGCAGAAGAAGAGAGGAGGACAGCGATGCAGAAGAAGCGTGCGACAACGAGAGCTGCAGGCGCAGAAGTGGTCTCTACGATGGGCAAACAACCCAAGGAAAGCCGACAGAGTCCGCGTTCTCGTTCGTACGGACCGTCGTCCTCGTCAAGGACTACGGATCTAGACGACCTGAGTCCTACCCGGGACGCCGCCAGTCGAAGGGCACACCGGCGAGACGGTCACAGCAGCAAATACCACGACGAGGCCCCGATGTCTCTCTCACCTCTCCCACGGTCGGCTCAAAGCCACGGCGGTAAAGACCGAAACTCTCGTCGTCCGTCCAACGCCCAACCACGGCTTAAATCGGCCGTTTCGACGGGCACTCTCGAGCGTGAAAGCTCGCGAAAGGATCCTTGGAACGACTTCAGCGACACCGATGCCAATGTCACCCCGTCAAGACGACATAGCAATGAGAGGAATGGCAAAGAAGCATTGGAGCCATCGTACGACGATGACAGCGAGCTGTGGCCGCCGACACTCTCGCAAACGCTCGATCGAGCATCTGCCAAGCGCGTATCCCATGCCATTGCGCTGAGGCACGCCTCCAAGGCTAAGCAGGCCAGGGAGAAAAGGCTGAAGGAGGAAAGAGAAAAGGAAAAGGAGAGGATCAGAAAGCTGAAGGAGAACGACGAGTACCTCGATTATGGATGGCCTCGCAGCTTGCAGGGCTCGTCGCTCTATTGATTTGCCTTCTCCGATACCCACACTCTCTCAACTACACTGTACAATATGAATACTTTCGGACACGACGTGAAGGCGGACAAGAATGAAGCCGGCAAGCGTGTACTCTTTTTTTCTTCTTCTCTGATCTTCATACCTTACCATCACATCTCAACCACTCAATCAATTCATCTCAGTCAAGAGTGCTCTCCAGTTGTTGACGTGAGAAGGGAAACGTCATCCTCGTTTGACAAATACTGCACCTCCACATCCACTTCTTCGCATCGGTGATTTTCGACCTTTTGCTAATCGGCCGATCGGCTCGGTGTTTTGGAGTTGCGCTGCTTCTTTTCTGCACTCTAAGGGTCTTACGGGTTCCTCTCAGATCTCGCCTTTGCCCTTCTCCGATCACGGACTTAGACCAAGTTTCCTAGTATGTAATGGGATTTCACGCAAGATGAGGGACGAAACCTCTATCTCTATAGGAAGGCTCCTGTTGCTGCCGCTCCTCTTCTCCGATCACGGCGTCATGCCCGAAAATTGTGTACTGACTTTTTACGCAAGGACAAGCATTTCCTTCTCTCTCTCTCTCTCCCCCTCACGTAAGAAGATATCCCGCTTCATGACTCGACTCGACTCGAGACGGCGCCTCGTTGGAACATCATCAGTGCTCCTTCTCACCAGCGTGGGCAATCTTTGAGGAAGCGACGGGAGGAATTCAAACAGCTTAGTCTAAGCGGCACAACACACGGCGCGGCTTTCTCTTCGAGAAGTCAGTCGGCCTTCGGAGTTTGCGACACTCATTCATCCCTCTCCACCGTCGTTGCCCGGCAGTAGTGCGATTGTCCCTCTGCACCCTTCGACTTCTCTCTCTACGCAGAATTGCGACTAGCAGGAGCAGTTTTAAATCATTCGCCTCCTCGGCCGTCGGTCATCGGCGTCCCTCTCTGCGAGTGCCTGCCCCATTTTGAAAGAAGGCAGACCCAACAAAGCCGCCACCAACCTTCCCACCACCACTGCTACCCCTACTAGCACCACTACGATCACCTCCCGTCATCGTCATCATCGCGAGCTGTAAGCCTCAAGATGGTGCTCCAGTCGCTTTTGCAATTTCGCGCTTTCGAGCATAGCGACGAGGTGCACCGTTTGCGCAACTTGCACCATCATACGCACGAAGCAAAGGGAACGGAGCAACAGCGAGAGACGGAGCAACGATCGCTCCCGTCCGACCAGACACGCTGCGAGTCCGACGACGAGACAAGCGCGGCTACTTCCCCTACCGACGCAACCTCGAACGAGGCCGGAGACGCCTCTTCGCCAGTCGAAGCCACGACTTTGAAGCGAGCGCAAGATGAAAAGCCTGACCCATTCCTCATTGAATGGTCATCAGGGGAGCCGTCGAACCCGCAGAACTGGTCATGGACCCGCAAGTGGTGTCTCGTTATGATGGTCACTGCCATCGGACTGCTCGTCGGCGTGGCGGCTAGCATCGACTCGGCCGCAGCAAAGTTTGCGGCGAGCAAGTTCGGCGTGAGCGAAGAGGTGGTTGAGTTGCAGACGGCCGTCTTCCTCATCGTGAGTTGCGCAGCTTCTATCAATGTTGAAGCTCTCCAGTAGAAAGAGAAATCGACAAGAGTGAAATGCTGACTGGACGGTGATGATGATGATGATGACATCAGGGATTCGGCCTTGCCGCGCCGATATTTGGTCCAATGTCCGAGATTGGCGGGCGAAACCCGGTCTACGTCTTGACGCTCTTGATGTTCGTCCTCTTCGAAATCGGCTCCGCTCTTGCACCCAACATTCAGACTAGGGTCATCTTGCGCTTCTTTGCTGGCTTCTTTGGCAGCACGCCCCTCTCCAATGCCGGCGGATCGATCGCAGACATTGTCAACAGCCGACAACGCACGTTTGTCTTTCCGATCTTTGCCAATGCCGGATTCCTGGGACCTGTTCTAGGTCCGGCCATGGGCGGATATCTCGGCTGGAAAGTGGGCGAAGAGTGGTGCGAGTGGCTTGTCGCTATCTGGGGCGCTGCCCTCTTGCTAGTGGTCCTATGCTTCATGCCCGAAACGTACGCGCCAACATTGCTCAAGATGAAGGCACAACAGATTCGACGGGCTACAGGCGACAAGAGGTACAGAACCGCCTTAGAAATGCAGAGGGACACCGTTCCTTTCAAACAGGCTTTCCGGCACAGCCTCGCCATGCCATTCCTCTACTTGATATGTGAGCATTGCCACGTCTGCCCGTTTTGTCTTGACACGCAGAGAAGTCGTGCTCACATCGGAAGCCAACAGACGAACCAATCGTACTCCTCGTCTCGCTCTACATGACGATGATCTACATCATTCTTTTTGGCAACTTCGAAGCGTACCCGGTCATTTATGAACCTTTCGGTCTCAATCCCGGGGAAATCGGTCTCACATTCATCTCTGTCGCCATTGGTCTCTTTGTCACGACGGCCTTCACACCGATCTTATACAAGCGCTACGTGACGCTACAGAAGACTGCTCAAGACACAGCACTAGAGAAAGGTAAAAAGGACTGGGAAGAGAGACTTCCTGAGCCAGAGGAAAGGCTCGTCGTGGCCATGCTCGGCACCTGGTTGGTGCCCATCAGCCTCTTCTACCAGGGTTGGACCTGCTTCCCGGGCAAAGTCAGCGTTTGGGTGCCGATCTCTTCGGGCATTCTTTTCGGCGCTGGCATCTTGTGAGTCCAGTGTCTTCTCTATATACAGTCTTGCAGCTGATAAAAGTGATTGGCACTCAGGACATGCTTCGTCGCGAGCTACCAGGTGAGCAAGAAGAGTGCGCTTCGACCATTTGTTGAACAGGAATTCTGACTTTGCTCCGTATTTGTTCAACTTTGCCCTGTCTTTCAGTACATCATCGACGTCTACCAGACCGGTTCGGCCTCAGCCCTGGCCAGCCTCACCTTTACGCGCTACATTGTGTCGGGCGGAGCTGTCATGTTCACCACGCCCATGTACCGCAGTCTTGGCACACATTGGGCGCTGTCACTGCTTGCTTTCCTCAGCCTCGTCTTCAGCTTCATTCCGTGGCTCTTTTACTTCTTCGGCAAGCGTGTCAGGACCTGGAGCCGATACACACCACCCGTTGAGGACGAGTGATGCCAATCCCATTCACACACGCCACCATAACCTCTCATCGCTGCCATATAATACTAGACATGTGATAATTGAAGAAATAGATACGAAGACATTGTGTGCTTAGATTTCTAGACTGAAGCAGATTTACACGCCCTTTGCGGCCCGTTCCTCCCAAAAGGTCTTTCTGTCGCGCACGACGCTCGCCTCGCCCTCGTTGATCCTGCTGAAGGAAGAGCTCAATATGCTTGTATCACCTGCAGCACCGCTCTTTGCAGTGGCCATCCTTGCGCTCCTCGGGCTCTTCCATGCTCGACTCGATCGGCTCCTACGAAACTCTTCCACCTTGGCCGCCGCTTTCGAATGGGAAATGCCGTCATTGAGGTTGCTCAGTGCAGTCTGCACCACCTGGCCGGACGTGCCGGTCCTCCTCGATGAGCCAAAGGCGCCAACGACGCTGCTGTCGCCGCTACTCGCTGAGCTGAAGCTGTTGACGCGCCGCAACGACGCGGACGACGCTGCAAAAGACCCATCGATACGAGTTGCGAAGCTCGTTTCGACCTCGTATGAGCTATCGCCCTTCTGGAATGACATGCTGCGGGATCGCTCGAGAGAGGCACGTTGATTACGTTTGGCAGCGAGTTCTGCAATGGCAGCACCCAGACTCGCAACGGAGGGGCTGCGCTCGACCGCACGCATCTCAAGAGGCGGTCCTGGCTTCGGTTCACTTCTCATCGAAGACACTGATGAGGTGGACACCATTGAGTCCCTTCGAGAACGATCTGCCGATGCGTGAAGAGGTGGCGGCGCAGGCGTCATCACCATAGGTGCTTGAGCATCAGCCTGTGCACCTTCTCGATCCTGCTCTCGTTGCACGTGTTTGCCGTCCTCAGAGGTTGTTGGGGCTTCCTTTGCGATTGCAAAGCGAAGAGGGGTGGCGACCTTTGAAGCCAAGAAGCCGAGGCCCTTCGAAGCCAGTCCCACCAAGCTCCTTTCCCTGCGGGGCGTCTCCATCATCTGTGAAGGCGAGGGGCTGGCGGACCTTTCTCTGCTTGGTGTGTTCGGCTCAGACGTTTGCACGGGAGCGCCCAGGGCTGGAAGCTTAGGATAGAGAGACGATGCCTCTGCCCCCACATTCTTTGGTAAAGGAGTCGACTCCATGACGAACGGAACAACACCCTCCTCTTCGAACCTAAAGACACTTGATTCGCTGCGAGCCCTCGTGTGCTGGCTCGACGGAGTCTGGGGCAAGCTTTCGCTGTAAGAGCCCAAGCCAAGCAGGTCGATGCCAAGTTCTCTGCGATCCTCTTCATTGAGCGTGCCTGGGAATCGGCGCTCAACTCGAATGGCTTGCCGCCGACGGAGGGCAGCGACGCGATTGCTCAGCTTCCTTCGTGACCATTCGCCAATGAGGTCCTCGGGCTCGATGTGATGAGCTTCGAGGAACACGTCTAGGATAGCTTGGCCATCGATCCGTTTCAAGGCCTCCTTTTGAGCCTGGCCCCTAAGCTTTTGGCCGCCTTTAAGCACAACGTTTGCACCTGCAAGAATTTCCGCAGTGAAGATGTCATCCAGCGATGCCCACGCCGCCTTGCTCCAGTCGCCGGCATCGACAAGTAGTCTGCCATGACCTCTCCGAGCCTTCTCGAGGAGGACGTCTTTACTGGCATACAAGACCGCCTCTTCGCCCCTGCCGAGCGAAGGTGACGGAGTAGCCGCAGCAACGTTGGGCGTCCGCGGGAAGCCGCCTGGCACAAAGGGTGTCGCTGGTGATTGGTCAAAGGCTCTTCTGACTGAAGATGCCGGTCTCGAGGGAATGGCAAACCTCGTGTCGCTCGAGGTATTGCAACTCAGCGGCGTGGGTCCAGATGCTACATTATCGCGTATCTGCTTCGAGGTTGTATCGGCATTGCTAGGCCCAGCGAGGCTGTCGAGCGAGCCATACTGGACGAAGTCGGAGAATTGTGTGAGCACCGCCACGGCGCGGGCAGCTGCGTCCTTGTCAAAGCTAGCGATCTCGACGGCGTTGTGACGCATGGAAAGCATGGCTGATCGCTCCTGCATAGAAACGTCAAGGGTTGAATCTTCGGCGGGGACTGAAGCATGGCGCACAAAGGGCGCTCGACGTTCAGTCCTTGCAAAGCTTGGCGATGCCATATTTACGCTATGAGAGGGCATGTCGGTCGCTGAGCGATCCATGGCCGTCGATGAGCGATACCGGCGGCCGAAGAATGACGCCTCTCCGTCGGCGTCGATCATCATCGATTGGGCTCGAGGCGGAGAGGGCAAGCTCGAGTCCGTCGAAATGGTGATATCCACGACTCTCTTCTCTTCCTCTGTCTCTTGCTCCGTTTGCATGACAGCCTCATTCTTAGACTTGGTGTGCGCAGCATCGTCAACTGGCATCGCTTTAGTTATCCTTTGAGCTTGTTTCTCGACCGTGGCCTCCATTGGCGCCTGCCATGCTCTTTCTTCGTCGCCTTTTCCCTTTGCAAAGTCATGTTCGGTCTGCACCTCCTCCACCTGGTCCATGTCAATGAGCTGATCCACGATCTGCTCATCTGCCTTCTCTTGCTCTTCGGTCTTTCTATGATGTTCAAGAAGTCTCTCCTCTCCTTCCTCTTCGTCATCCTCTCTCGCTTCCCCTTCGCTAAGGTCGTGGTCCAATGCCGTCGCGCTACGCCTCAGAGCCATGTCCCACTCTGCATTGTATCCCATCTCGACAAGCATGGGCGAAGCGCTTCGTTCGGAATTTGTGCTCTCTTCCTGCTGCTCGTCAAGTGCCTCTGTGTACACGTCATTGACCTCTTCCTGGTCGCTGAATGCGTTGCCGTTGGGACTTTGATGTATATGGGAGTATGCGTCGACGCTCTCGCTCGAGATGCCATGTCCTCCTTCTGCGTCTTCGTCCTCATTGTCGGACTGTCTTGCTCGCTCTTGCTCGTCCTCGCTTCCCTCCCTGGATATCATCTCTGCTGCAGAGAACGACTCTTCTCTGTCCGACTCTTCTTCAAGGGAGGATTCCTCCTCACGAGTTTTGTCTTCACGTGAGGGAGAGTCGTCGCCCTTCTTGACCAGCAAACGAGGGTCGATAAAGTCATTTGGTTCGAAGCCGAAGCCTTGCTGCTCTTTCAAATGTGAATCGTTTCTCTGACTGGTAGCTGTGAGAGAAAGCGGTGCTTGATTATAGGTGCCATCTTCGCCGTCAATCGAGGGGCCTTCATGCATCAAGAGGTGCTCTGTACCGAAAACCTCATCTTCGTCCTCCGACTTGATCTCGAGGTCTTCAGAGACGCCAAGCTGGTTGCCATTGATCCCACCGGTCAGCGAAGCCGAAGCATGGCGGTCGTCAACGTCATTCCGGCTCGGACCTCGCAGGAGCATCGGGTCATCCGACGGGCTCGGAGGTCGCGGTGCAACTTCTTCGCTGAGTCTGCTCAGCGCAGGTGGACTCATTGTCCGTCGCGATCCGACGCTGCGGCACCGACCCTGGATCTCCTGCTCTTCGTCTCCCAGAATTGAGACCGACCTCCTCGACGGATCCTTAATCTTTGATCTCTTCGACGCAGGCGACGCCTTAGCTGCTGGCGTGGATTTCGAGCGTGAAGCGGCCCTATTCGAGCGGGGTGTCGGCACGATCTCCGGGATCTTGACCGGCGTGCTCGGTGTGGAATAGTCGCTGGACTTTTGGACAAAGCCGTCGTCGTCATCGGTGTCGTCGGAGACCTTTGCTTTGCCCTTGCCCTTCCTCGTTGCTTTCGTCCTCGTCCCAGCCGCCTTTGCCTTTGAGCCGCGACTGATCGCCTGCTTCGACTGTGCCGGGGATGATATAGCTGAAGGCTGATTGCTGCTAGCAGCCGGCTCTATTGCCTCTGTGAACTCTTCTCCGTGCTGAAAATCAACGTCGAAAACGTCATCTCCTGGAGGGAGCAAGGGAGATGGGCCGTCGCTGTAGTGAAGGGTCTTGAGTAGAGGCGCCTTGTCTTTGCTTGCCGCTCGAGAGCGTGATGGAGCTGCGATAGGTGTCGATGCAAGAGGGAAAGAAGAAAACTCTCTTGCCTGTTGCATTCTCAAGGCACTTGAAGAGGTTGGCTGCTTGCCCCGAGGAGAACGCGGCTTAGTCACTGGTGTCGAGATCAGAGGAAAGGACTCGTTGAAGGAGGACTCGAGTCTAGACCTTGAGAGGGAGGTGGGTAAGAGAATGATCTCGTCCGTCATGTGCGCATCGTAGTCCTCCTCGTCCGAGTCTTCCTCCTCGCCCTCGTCCTCTTGCGGCTGCTCCTGCTCCTGCAGCATTCTGTGCATCGCGACGGGGCTGCCCCTCGACGACCTGTCTGCCACCTTTCTCGCACGCGGATTGGGCGTCGACCTGGTCCCACGAGGCGAATGGAAGACAGAGGAGCTGGGCGAGTCACGCACACGCTTGTTTCCTTGTCCATTTCGAAGAGACCTTTTGGTGGGTGTCGAACTTGGCTGCTGCCCCAGCAGATTTGGACTTGCAGAGGCATCCTTTTGCGAGGGAGGGGGCGTTGGAAGTGCTGTGGTCCTAGTGAGCTTGACAGGTGCCGCTACCGAATTGACGTGATTTGAAGCAGAAGACAAGTCATTGGCAGAAAGCTGGCCCAACGCCCGCCTTGGTCGACCAGAATCCGGGCGCGATAGACTCATGGTCGAGAGATGTGACGCGTAGGGATGAAGTAAGCAAGGCCGGGATAATCCCTGTCACGGCGTGCGATCGACTCTCTCGCCGACAAGAGTCAAAGAACGTGTGCACGAGTACTATCTTGACGTCCTCCTAAGCAGAGCAAGCCGATGAGCGACGGCGACAATGTCGGAAGAGTCGTCGATGATCGTACTGTTCTAGCGGAGATGGTGTTGGTCCTGTTTGAATTTAGAGGATCAACACCCGCGCTCCTCCCCGCGTACGGGTAGTGTCACGTGAAAATACGACACCAATTCTGAGGATAGTGGCAATGCTGAATTGCGAAGAAGGACAATCCTGCGAGTCTTGACGAGGCAAGACTTCAGCAAGCGGGGGCAGAGCGATGCTAGTGGTAGTGTTTAATCGTACAGAGACTTCTATCTATTCCATGAAAGCCCAATAAGTGCATTGAAAGAGGATGGGAGAAAGCGACGGTCAGCTATCCACGTCCATGGTTGTGGGAGCAGTGGTAGAAAGGTCGCCCTTGGCGTCGCCCTGCAGACGGAAGCCGGCATGGGACCGCACCAAGCTGGTATAGTAATGCTGGAGCAGCGCTCCGCTGCATGTGAGGCGCCAGTCAATGATTGTGAGGAACTCCTTTTCGAGCATGTTGAGCTCGACGAGCGAGATACCCCCTACCCGCGCGTAGTGGCCTTTTGACATTCACGTCAGCTCAGCAAGAGACGCAAAGCGAGCAGATGAATAAACCCACCGTTGGTGCTGAAAGCATCGCACAAAGCCTTGCTGGCGCACACAACTGCTGCACAGACAAATCGATGCACCGTGAGGCCGCAGATTGTGAAGCCGTCCATCCTCGCACACACCCGGTCGATGTAGACGAGGAGGATGAGTGCGCAGGCCTTGTCCAAGCTCGTATATCTGGCGATGCGCCGAAGATAGGACGAAATGCTGATGGCCGGTGTGGCGCGAGAGTGAAATCGGGTCAGCGAAGAGGGGTGCAGCGGTATGAGGTCGTTGTGAGCGATCAGACGGGCGAGCATGTCGGCTAAGTAGGAGACATTCGCTTAACAAAAAGATTAAGGGCGGTTTGTGTTCTTAGCTGTACACTCACCAACGAGGACAACAATGTCTTCGGCGTCGGCATCTTCGAGCAACGCAGGCACCAGCTTGACCTGGACATTTCCATCCTCTGACCCCAGCGGTGCTGCTGCACCAAGAGGCTGCGCACGGCCTGACGCCGCATCTTCTGCCATGCTCACAGCAGTTCCCGCGGTCACCGTGGTTCCGACAGTTCCATTAATGCTGCCACTGCTCCCGCCTTGAGATGCTCCACTGCTGCCGGGCGTCGACGTTGGTTTCTGCGTCAGCGCCCGAGGACCATCCTTGTTCCACGCAGCGACCGCCGCTGCCGCCGCCGGCGACAAAGACGACCGTCCAGCATCAGCCGTCGAACTGGCTCCTCTTCCATTCGTCAAGCCCTGCAAGTCCGATTGGGATCTCGAGCTTGAGCTGTCGATGCTTGAGCCACCCGACGAGTCGGCTGCTTGCGAAGCGTCGGGGTGGGGCGACACTGCTGAATGCGAATTGAGAGAGTCATACTTTCGGCTGAGATCGTCAGCACCTGGTGGTGCCCCAAAGATGACATCCGAAGGTGAGGCCTTTTTCTTTGGCGATGTCTGGGCGCTCGGCAGGTGTGACGAGCCAGAAGAGGTGGACGACATGGACGAACCTGTGGCGCGCATGACGACGCCTGAGAAGCACCGAGATGCGAAATTTCGTCCCGTCACAGAATACTATTCACACTTCCGCCACCAATCGGACTCTTTCTGCCCCCTCAGCCCTTCCTTGTCTTGTGCTTCGACTCCTTCTCTCGGTCCTCGGACTCAAGGCGCTCGTTCGTACGGTGTCCGCTCCGTGCGTCGGGCCATCACCTGCGAACTAGCCGAATAAGGCCTGAGCTTTGACGTAGCTTTGCACGGCGGCCGTTTCGCAGTCAAAGGGAGAGAAGAGTCTTTCTCTCAATAGAAGTGAGGGAAAGTCGGTCGAGAAGCAGTGCCGGGTGAGAAGATGGTCTCGATCCGGGAGGGGGGGAAGAGAGGAAAAGCACTGGTACACGTGCTCCCACCAATGCGTCGGAGAAATGAGTGGAGATGCGAGACGCGCGCGCACTGTCCTCTTTTCTCTTTCTTTTTATTTTCGAAGGATTGATGGCTCTCAGTCCGTCTCGTCCAATCAGCCGATGAAGGCAATGCACACTTCCACGACTCTGGATCAGTCGATGGAGATGGACTCGGTCAATGGTACGGATGACGAGAGAAGATCGCACGCGTCGTCGCGATCATCGTACCGCGCCTGGATTCGCTCTATCGAGGCAAAATTGCATGCATCCAATGCTGCACCAACTTCCCCGACTCGCATCGGGCTTCTCGAGACGCTCCAGAAGGCCCTCGAGCAAAAGCATCAGGCGTATCTCCTCTCCTCGGCAGAGACAAGGCTCTTCTCTGCTCTCGTGGCGTTTCTGCTCTCGAGTTCTCAAGCGGGGGGGCTCATCTCCGATGCCAGCGTTGTGGCTCAGCTTCTGCAGCTCCACAGCGACCTCTCTAGGGACAGCAATGGCAGCGCGCTCGACATCGCGGCCTTTCAAGCCTATACCTCTCTTACCCTCGCGCTACACTGGATCTATACGGGAGTCGACCCTGCCCAAGTTGCGGAGAGGTGTGAGCCGTGGATCAGCCAGGCGATGACCTTGAGCTTGTCGTCGAGCCAGGAGGGGCAAGTGGAAGGCCTCGGTCTCGTTTCCAAGGACCCGTTACTGTACTGGACTGCAACAAGCGGTGGGCCGCGTCTGGATGCTACCGGCAACTACTTGCCGTCGAGTTTGCCAAGAATTCCGACGGCGCAGCAAGCAGAGGCTGCCGGGGTAGGGCCCGCCTGGGAAGCTTTGCTAGGAGAAGAGGCCGTCAGGGAGCGCGTCAGAGAAGCTAATTCCAGGGCAGCAGGAGACTCCTTGAACGTGAGTGGGTGGCACCTTGTATGAGCCCCTTTGGCCACAATACTGACATGTAGCCTCTGCAGAGTCACAAGGTGTGGAACCCGTATCTGGCCTTTGAGATTGTGCACTGGCAGCTCAATAGAAGCGCTACTGCCGCCAGCATCATCCACAACGTCTTTCTCGCTCGACTAGCCATCCCCCACGTCACCATCGATGAGACGTACCAGCTCTTTTCGACCTTTGTCACCAACTCTCTACCGCCAGACGTCTACGAAGAGACCATGTCGAGCTCTTCGCGGCTCGTTGGGAAGGCGAAAGCTATCGTCGATGCATGCGAGCCGTATGAGCAAGGCCTTGCACATACGAGTACTTCTTCAAACGACGCATCGGCGCTCGCAGCCTCTTGGAAGTACTACCTCCGTTGGATCGTCACAAAGACAGAGAGAGATGGAGTCAAGCCGGGCGGTTTCCTCTTTGACGTCGAGGGCGCGTCGGCCCTGTTCGAGCGAGCGATTGCCCAGGTTGGGTATCCGGAGCAGACTCACAGCGAGCAAGTGGCACCCACTGTTGAGGCGCAAGAGACCGAGGCAAAGGCGCGTAGCAGAGAGACTCGCCAAGCCAGAGAGAGCAGGGTCGCAGTCGAAACACAGTCGCAGAGGGTCAGCGAGGATGCCTGTCAAGGGATATGGCGGGAGTTTGTCGCACTTCTGGTGAGTGTGCCGTGCACGCCTTGCTGATCTAGGATACGCAACTGACGCTGGCCCTGTTTCCTCCCAAGAATATCGCTCACGCGCCCCAGTCGCTGGTACTTGATGTCGTCGAGCGAGCAAACAAGAGCCTGCCGTTTTCAGGCTCGCTGTGGGGCTCCACGCTCCGTTGCTTTGGCAAGTTGAGACTCTCGCGGCAACAGATCGAGGAAACCCTGGCAAGAGCTCTCTCGAGCGGCGAGGTCCAGGCCAGAGGCACAGCCGAGGTTGTCGACGTTCTCCTGGCCCGTATTGACGTCGAGAGGGAGTCTCAGGCGGCTCAGCTGATGTTGGCCGATCCAGCAACTTACGCAGAAGGAGGGTTGTCAGATGCCCAAGCCGCCGTAGCACGCAACCCTGAATCATTTCTCGAGGTCTATACTCTCCTGGAGTGGGCTTTGGAAACAATCAAGGGCATCGAGGCACAGTCAAGGGGAAAGAGCAAAGACGCCGGAGACACGTCATTGCGCTTGGAAAAGATGGCGTCGCGATGGTGCGAACTCGGAGGCGAGGCTATGGTTGCCCTGGCCGAGGGGATCTGGGAGCATGTGCTCAAAGCGAAGAGATCCAACGTTCTCGCATGGAGGGAAGCTGCGGCCTACTGGGCGAGGAGAGGTTCTGCTAGCAAAGCGAGAGGCATCCTGAAGCAAGGGCTCGAGCGTCGAGACCTCGACGGCACGGCAAAAGTTCAGCTCGCCGACGACCTCGTTGACCTCGAGCATTGCCTCGGAACGCTCTCCGACGTTGAAGTGGCGCGCGAAAGACGGATCGTGGAACAGGACAAGGCGTGGGAGGCGTACAACAGCTATTATACCCAGCAGCAACAACAAAGCTACGCCGACGTGGAAATGGACGATAGCGAGGAAGTCGGCACGAAGAGAAAAGCAGACGAGGATCAGCAGCACCATCCCACCGCCCAGGGATCTTCTCCAAACAACGACGCAATACCGCCAAAGCGAGGCAAGACCGATGACCGGAAACCGCAGCGAGATCGAGAGTTCTGCTCAGTCATGGTCTCGGGCCTGCCAGCGGTGACCGACGACAGGGATACAGACGAAGTATTGCAGAAGATCGAGGCACTGTTTAAGGATTGTGGTGAAATTTCCGAAATCACCGGTCCAAGGGTACCTGCCGGCTCACAGACAAGCGCCGCTCTCATTGAATTCACGGACCGTTCATCGATTCCGGCTGCGCACACCAAAGACAAAAAGCGCATTGACGGCCAATTCGTCCAGGTGGACCTCGGATACGAGTGCACCTTGTACGTTACCAACTTTTCCGAAGAGGCTGACGATCACTGGATCCGAACGCTTTTCTCACCCTACGGTGACATTTTCGACGTTCGTTGGCCCAGCAAGCGGTACGCTTCGAATAGACGCTTCTGCTATGTCCAATTTACCACCCAGCAAAGTGCCACTTCCGCCCTTGCCGAGCATCAGAAAGAGGTCGGACACAGCCCTCAGGGCGAGGCACTCAGGCTCGAAGTCCTTCGCTCGGACCCCGCGAGGAAAAAGGTCAGATCGGACGCAGCGTCGACGGAGCGAGAGCTATACGTCACAAAATTGCCCAGAAGTGCCACAGTGGACGCCTTGAGAAGCATGTTTGGGGCCGAAGGCGACGTTGAAGATGTTCGAATGCCTACGAATCCAGATGGCAAGCCCAAGGGTGTCGCATTTATCGACATGAGGACCATATTAGACGCCGAAAAGGCGATGCAGGTCCTCAATGGTGCTCGGCTCAAGGGCAAGGCCATCTCTGTCTCAATTGCCCAAGCCAGAGTTTCCGGTCCTGGCAGAGCCACATCGCCTAATGCGCCGAGGATGGACGCCGAAAGAAGAAGCCGCTGCGTCAAGGCGCGTGGTCTTCCGTTGGATGCACAGGAGGCCATTATTCAGCAGCTGTTTGAAAGGATGGCTGGCGGGCCTGGGACGGTCTTGTTGGTCGAGTACGAGCCTGGTAAAGAAGGGCACGGCATCGCCACGATCGAATTCCAGGATGCGAGTGTAAGTTTCGATCTATGTTTGTCAAGATACTCTAAGACGCATGCTAATGTTCCATCCACTCTTTAGACGGCGGGTAGGATCCTGTTGGCATCGACGGCACAATACGACGAACAACATCTCCTTTCACTTTCGCCGCTCGAACATCGCGGCGCCGCGGCAGCGGTGCCCCCGTCCAGCGCCTCGCATTTTGCGCCTCGACAAGTGGTGGGAGGAGCAGCTCGTGGTGGCGTGGCAAGGGGACGGGGCCGGGGTAGAGGCTCTTTTGGCGGTGGCATTGGGTTCACAAGGAGCAGCGAAGGGCATCAAGCGCAAGACAGGGCGACTGAATCTATGGACGTGGACGGCGCCGGGGATTTGTCCGCGGCTGCGTCCACGGCACCAAAATCGCAGGAGGCCTTTCGAGACATGCTCAACAAGGGCAAGTGAAAGGAAGCTTTCGGACAAAAAGCCATGCTTTGAGCGAAGAGCAAATGCCGGTGTTGGAGAAGTGGTAGTGTTGCTCCCGCACAAATGTCACATGAAAGGCAGCCACACGCATGCGCTCTGCAGGTCGACGATCAATGTTCTATACAATCATGCGCATGAACGTCTCTTTGGGTTTCTGTTCTAAATGTGACTTGCACCCGGCTCCAAACGAGGCCTGTGTGCGACAAGACCTGTACTTTGTTTTCGCGGACAGTGGTCTCGAGCGGTTCAGCTTGAACGATTGGAAAGCTGAAGCGAAGAAACGGTGTCGTCGCCGAAAGAACGAGCGGAGCCGAGGGCCTTGCATGAATCGTCCGCTTTCTTCGGCCAAAAGGAAAAAAATAAAGAAAGTTGGCCAAGAAAAGAACAAGGTCTGCCTTCGTCATTTGATTGCGTGTGTCAATCACCTTTTGTGGGCGGCTATTATATTATATTGTAAGTGGCTATTAGGGTACCCGCCCTAAATTGCTGCTGCACTAGAATTGTACTGTACTGTACCTCGCATTTGGGTTTGGGTTAAAGAGAAGAAAAGCCTGTGATGTCAATGCAGCGCCCGAAATTCTCTCCCCGGAGAAAAGAGAGGGCACGTCGACGGCCTATCTACCGACCCCGGCCTGCATTGTGATCGTGAGCCCGGCCTGCAGCTGCCCACGACTCGCCGAGCGCAGGGAAAGTTAGAGGACGTCTCTCTCATATACTGTCGACGGGGGCCGCAAGGAAGGAGCGGGCGGCTGAGTAGGAACGGATCGGGCGTCGTATCGTTTTCTTAATTGGGCGCTCGAGCCTTAAAGCAATCGCTCCGCGCAACTTGCCTGCAAGACAAGGCCCTTTCGCACCACCGCCGGCAAAAGCGCGGCGAGCGCAGGGCCTGGCGAAGAGACAGTCGACGGGACACACTATCAATACATTATCCTCGTCGTAAGCCAGGTGCTAAAGGCTCGCTGGCGAGATATATTTTTGAGCCTTGCCGTCGCATTGCTGCTCCGCTCGGCACGGACTCGTCTCTCCGCGGCGAAAGGGGGAGGGGCGGGGTGGGGTGCATCCAAAGGGCGGGTTAGCAAGAAGATATTTGCAGAAACAGGGTGAGTGCTGGAGTCGATTCACGTATGATGACGAGGGGGTGGGACCGGACACGGCCGCCATTGCCTTGCTGTCTGCCCGTCAACTCTCTCCCTTCTTTCTTTTTCCTTTCACCGAAAAATGGGCGTGCGTGGACGGGGAGGATGTATGCGAATATGTGTACTCGTCAAGGACATGCGCTGACCTCGCTTAGGGCGAACTCGGGTCTGCTGGGCCATCACAGCCTGCGGTACTCAATCACAGTCGGACAAGAGCATTGGGCATTTACTCTCATCAAAGGCCAGGGAGGGAGAAAGGAAGGAAGCATTCTTCCGAGAGGATCTGGTTCCAAAGGCGGACGACGGAGCGGGCTCAGAGCTATACCGCCGTGGAGGTGTACAAAGGAGGAGCATCCAAGACACGACTGCCCCGATTGGGAAGCCGTCTTTGCCGTGCACAGAGTCGAGCATACATAGGGGAGAGCAGCTTCGACTGAGGCGAGTGAAAGGAGAGGAGAGGAGGAGGCAGTCCACCTTGCTTGGCACTTGCGCAACCACTACTCGACCTTGGTCCGCGCCGACCTAGGTCTAGAGCTATCGAGGATACCGTGTGGAACCACTCGAATTGCCGCGACAAGAGGCCGCCCAAGAGAGACGACCGCCCCGGGAAGGCTGTCGCAGCAAGCGCGCGCGCTCTCTCCCTCTCTTTCTCTCGCTATCTCCCTTTCTATCGATCTCCATTATTCTTTTCGCCTTCCTCCTTCCTTTTCCTTGTCCCGTTCCGCCCTCGTTTCGAAGCAACATTCAGTCGGCAGACTGCGGCAGTCATGCCACCTCACCGCACCTCACCCAATTCACCATACAAACGCCAAGGGAGCTTCTACCACCGCCCGGCGCTTCTCAATCCCACCTCTCCTTCCACTGGCCCTTCTTCATCATCAAGCATCGCAGGTCACGGATTTGCGTCGGGAATAGGACCAGAACCAGGGCCAGGGCCGGGACCGGCATCGGGACTGGGGGCTAGTCCGGGCGCTGGGCCAGTACCTGCGCCCTCGATGGGAGCTTCGCCGCCCCTCTTTCGCCCCTTGGAGCGATCGAGCGCTGGGTCGCTGTACACCGATGTCAGGCCTTCGTATCCTCCGACCAACCCTCACTTCGCGCACGGCCACCCTCCTACGTCGCGGCCTTCCCTGCCTGTTCCCAGACAGTATTCGCAGCCCCCGCATCCACCTCCACCGCAGCCGCAGCCGCAGCAGCCCTCGGGGCATTTCCAGGCCCATCATCCGTACCATCAAGCCCCACATCAGCATCAACATCATCAATTTCACCAACATCAACACCAGCAGCCGCAGCACCAACAACAACAACAACAACAACACCATCACCAGCAGCTCTACTCGCCGATTTCGGTTCCTACGACCTCCTCTTCTCCCAACAGTCATGCCACTGGCAGCAAGGCGCAGGCTATCGATGCTGGCCATGCCCGTGCCTATCGCAGCCGCAAGGACCGACCGTGCGACAGCTGTCGAAAGAGAAAGAGTCGCTGTGTCATCATCGAAGCCGGGCAGAACTGTCAAAGCTGTCGTCTCAACGGTCGCTCGTGCACCTTCGACATGGATCCCACGCCTAGATCGAGGCCTCCCAAGCCAGACGACGCAAACCAGTCGCATTCTCATCAGTCCAAGTCGCCCTCTGCCAGCGTCGGTGGTGGTCTCGCTCGTTTTGGCTCACGGGACCGCAAGGCCTCTTCGGCTTCATCAAGTCTGGGAATGATGCAGGAGGGCAAATCGCCCACGCCCGTCAAGCATGCCTCGGGGCCCTCGCACCCCGCTGCATCCAGGAGGTCCAACACCGACGACCTGCATGGCTTCATCTCCCGAATGATGACGGGCGGCGAAGATGCCTACCCCGAAGACCGATCAGAAAGCCACGTGAGTTGCTCCCTTTTCGTTTGCCCACCACCTTTGGCCGGGTTGGCCAGCGGCCACCGTGGCGAGTGAGGGCGGTGTGTAGAAATGCTGGCGCTGCGTGTCTTTTCCTTCTTCCTGCGTGTCCCTGGTCTGCCTTCCTCTCCCTCTTTGCCCCTGTCTTCCCCCTTCTCGTTTCTCCCCCTCCCTCTCTCCCTCTCTCTTTCTCTCTCTATTTTTTGCCTCCCTTTCTCTCCTTCTCCCTCTTTCTCCCGTCTTTTACCCTTCTGCTTTTTCTCATCCCCGTCCCTCCTTCACGTCTGACCGCCCGTTGCGCAAACGTCAACTAACAACTGTCTTTTCACAATCGAACCACAGAACGGCGACGGTGACCGCGTCCCTCAGGAGGAGAAAGGAATGATGCCAGTCGTCCTGGGCAGCTCCTCCTCCGAGGACCCATTCTTGCTCAAGCAGGCCGAGACGCGCGCTACACCATCTACTGCCAACACACCCTCCGTCCCTGGCGCCCATCGCCATAGTGGTGGCAAAGACCAAGGCTCTTCCGGCGCCAGTAGTAGCGGCGGCATCAACAGGAGCAGTAGCAACATCGAAAGCAACAACACTGCAGCAGCTACGACGGCGGTGCCCAGTGACGGAGAGAAGCCCCCCGTCCCACCACCGCTGCAGATTCGACAGATGACTCGCGACCCTCTACACCCCATCTTCTTCGCCTTTGTGCCCTCGCATCCGTACGGCCGGCTGCAAAACCAGGCCAAAGAGATCGGCGCCGATGGCCTGCTCAAGCTTCGCAGGTCTCTGGGCGACAAAGTGGCACCCCTCATGGTCCTCTACTCGCTGCGAGACTCGGCCGCCTTTCCACTCTTGATGGAGTCGCAGCGCAACGAGTACCGCGAGGCAACCATCCATGCCATGGCCAGCTATCGCGAGGGAGGATTTTCGGCGTCGGCACCGCTTGAGAGCGAGACAGCAAAGGACCAAAAGACCAGCGGTCGCAAGGGACGCGAAGGAGCCACTGACGAAGCGGAACAAGCAGGAGACCTGCCATTGATCCCCCTTCCCCCCGTCTTGGCTACGTCGACGCTGGCGACGGCGACCGTGTATGATGCGAGTCTACGCCCCATCTCCAAACAGGCCTGGGGCTACAATCTGCACGCTCTCAAGGAACAATTTGACATCTCGTGAGTTGTGCGCTGACTTTCCCTCCTCTCTGCCCTTTCCTTTGAGACACGGGTGCGATGGTCTGAACCTTTCTCTCCTCTAGCACCCTCGTCACATTGCAAGTTGCCTTGACTGACCTGACCGGACGGCCGTCGATCAACACCAGCGGCAATTTTATGACGTTCAACCAGACGCTGGCCATCGCCCACATGCTGGGTCTTCACCTCGATCCTACCAGCTGGCGAGTGTCAAAGGAAGAACGCGATGTTCGCATCCGTCTATGGTGGGCCATTGTCATCCACGACAAGTGGTCTGCCCTTTGTTGGGGCCGTCCATCGGTGATCCATTCGTCTCATCATTCGGTACCGCTGCCGAAGCGCAACAGCCTATCGCCCTGCGCAGATCACCTCGCCGACGCCGGTCTCTCCGCCTTCCAGGACACTCTCGGCTGGGAACGAAACAGCGATTTGCCGTCTGATGCGCATACTCCGGGAGACACGTTCGCAGGTCTTTGTCGCTTGACACTCACCCTCAATGACGTCCTGACCAATTTCCACTCTGTCGTGCCGATCCAGGAACTTAGAAGGGACGGCTTTGTCGTTGCACAGCGCGTCAAGTTCTTCATGGCCGAGCTCGAGGACTGGAAGGACTCGATGCCGGCGACGCTGAGGGCGGTGCTGCGAGGGGACGAGGTCGGAGCCAAGTCAACTGAGGCGATTCCAGGCACGAGGTCGCTGCAGCTGTCCTATCTCGGTGTCAACCAGCTCGTGTGTCGAACGGCCATGGATGCCTTCACCGCCATGGGCGACGACAAGCGCATGCTGCCAGCCTTTGAGGCTGGTCTGTCGAGTGCCGTCATGGTCGTCGACTTCCTCGAATCGCTCACCGACGAGGATTACCGTGGCGGCTTCTTTCTTCATTACGGTGCCCATCACCTCGCCGGCTCTCTCTCTTTGCTTTGCAGGCTCTGTCTGACCTTTTCCCGTCTGGACAACCGTGAGCTTTTGGCGAGCAGCATCACCACCCTATCGCGCCTTCTTGTCGCCCTTTCCGACGCCCATCGGCTTCATAAATGGGACCTGGCTGAGCTGGCCTTGACCCGCAGCCGAGGCATGCTGCCCACGCTCGAGGCCATGATCCCCGCTTTTCCTCGCTTCATGGCGTCCACTCAGGAGTCGACATCCATCCGGCAGCCTTCGCATCGCCGCAAGGCTTCATGGGAGGGCCGCACGCAGGATGGGGTGCAACAGAGCCAGCAACCCAAAGAAGAGGAGATAAGTGCTTCAGCAGGTGCAGACGCCGTCATGGCCGAAGCTGGCAGCTCCACGACGTCAGTCTCCACCTCGACGTCGAACTCGACTTCTGCGAGCTGGGATGTTCAGCAGGGCCATGCACCCAATGATCCCTCTGGCCCGCGACAGTCGTGGCAGGGCGAGCACTCGTCACAGGCTCGTCCACACGACGATCAGCAGCACCAGCTGTACGAGCAGCAGCACGGCCCTCAGCCTCCGCCTCCGCCTCCTCCTCAGCAGCAAGAGCAGCAGTATCCTCAACACGGCGCCCCGCCGAGCGATATGGCTCATCTCTTTGATCCGACTGGAGGTGTTGCCGGGCATCATGCACCCACTGCACACGCTCAGGTCGAGCTCGATCAGACACAGCAGGCTGCACAGCTGCAGCCCATCCAGCAGCTGTCTCAGCAGCAACAACAGGAGGTCACCATCGATGCCATGGGCCTGCCTTACAACATGGGCATGACCGGCGGCCACGGGGGGCAGAGCAGCAGCCACCTTCTGCCGAGCCTGGAAGCCGACTGGCTCAGCGTCATGCACATGGGAAACTTCCCAGAATGGCCAGTCAATGTGAATGTCTGAAGGGAGGGAGGAAATGGAGAGACGCCTCCTTGTACAGTACCTGTCTTTAATGTATTTCGCCCCGTCTCTCTTACCCTTCTATCTCCTCGCCTCTTCTCTTTCCCTCTCTACTTCTCCTTCTCTCTTCCTCCGTGGTGATGTCGGTGTCACAATTACCATTACATTATTCTCTCGAACGTGGGCTCACTTCAATAACGTGCCTGAGCGCAGGGGCGCTCGATGTACTGTACTAGACATGGTCACGATGATACAACCATCTATGGGCGTGGCATGGCGCGCCGTCGCGAGTGTCGAGGGTGCATCAGCCGAGCGTGTTGCTCGCCTTTTTCTTCTTTTTGCCCGCACCCTTCTGAAACGACCTCCAGTCTGACGGCAACGAATAATTCTGGTCTAGTCAGTTGCTCCATACCAAAAAAATGACATCACGACATCGTCGAGACGGAAAAGGGCCTTTCTCACCGCTGATGCGCTCCTCGCGCGTATTCTCCCAGTGCTCCTTTTCGTCGGCTTTGCGCTTGCGCTCCTGCACGGCCTCGTCCTTTTTTCGCTGCTCCTCTCCCTCGGCAGCGTGTTGGATGCGTACGGCTCTGGAGCGAATGCTTCGAGTCAGCAAGCTTGCTGCTACTCTCTTGAAAGGAAAAGCAACAGGTCCAAGGTCCAACCACCCACCGCCTCTTCCTCAGCTCATCGTCGACCATGAGCTCCTTTGTCCCCTTTCTGACCCTCTCTTCGAAGCTGGGCACGAGATGGCGGAGCCTCTCGTCGTCTGCGTCTGTGCTCGGACCGAGGCCGAGCTCGCGCAGCACGAGCACGCGGGCACTCATGACCGTCTCGTCGAGCACCTTTCGCTTCTCCTCGTCCAGAAGCGCGCTGCTGGCCTGTTTGAGCAGGCCAAAGGCCCGTTCGGCGCGCTCAGCATCGTGCCGCAGCTTGTCGGGGTGGATCAGCAGCGACTTTTTCCGGTAGAGGCGCTCGATGGCCTTTGTGTCTGCATCGAGCGGACACTCGAGCACGTCGTACGGGTTCAGCTTAAAGGCCGACAGGACCCGGTCCAGCTCCAGCTCCTGGAAGAATGACGTCTTTTGGAGCGAGAGAAACCTCTCGAGCTGGGCGGGATCATCTGGCAGAGAGGCAGTCGTGACGTCCGCCGGGGCAGAGGACGAGGTGGCCGGCGCAAGCGCAGGCGCAGGCGCTGGCGCTGGAGCCGGAGTAGATGAAGACGAGGCCGACTGTTGCTGCACCTCGGCCGAGCTGGTGGAAGCGGTGGGTGCAGGCGAGGACGATGACGAGGCCACCGGCGGCGGTGGCCGTGGAGGAGGCGGCCCTGGTGGTGGACCCGGAGGCGGGCCAGGCGGGCGTGTGGGGGAGGCCATCGTAGCCGTCGTCGAAGCAGACGCTACTGGTTAAATTAAGGAGAGAAGGACGAATAGAGCTTGCCCGACCGGTCCGTCGCGCTCATTTGTGGAGGTCACGGGAATCGTCAGTTCATTTTGCCCTCTTTCACCTTCCCCCCTCGCTATCTTCTTTCTTTCCTCCTCGCATCGACCTGCTTCGTCGCCCTCGACGATGCCAGCGCAGCCCTTGGTGCCTCCGCCCGAGCCCGATCCGCACGCGCTGGAGTCGCTCGATGACCTTATCTCACGAAGAGAACAAGATGCTCGGCGGGAGCAGTCGGAATCTGTAGATCCAAGCGCCGTTCCAGCGTCTCCCGCTCGCCGCGATATCGCGGGTCCTCGCAGCCCACTAATTACTACGGAAGAGGGAGCAGGCTCGAGCGCTATCGTCACATCTCCTATAACGTCGCCCATCAGCGGTACAGGGGCTCACAACGGTGACTCTGCGTTTTCTTCACGGACTGTGCCGCGAGACGAGAGGCGATGGAACGGCTTCCATCTCTGGAGGACCGAGTCGTACAATCTTCGAGCCGCCAGGCAGCGTGCCGCACTCGAGGCGCAAAGGCTCGCAGAGAGGGGCAGCTGGATCAAAAGAGCGGCAAATGTCGTCACTGCGCGTGTGGGCACCTGGCTCGGGAGCGCATGCAGAGGCGTGAGGGGAGACAGGGGCCAGGACGAAGACGACGGCGAAGAACAGAAGGGCTCCGACACCACGAGAATGATGTTGCTTACGCTGGTCATTGCGGGCGCGCAAATGGCTTGGACGCTCGAATTCGGCTACGGAACGCCATACTTGCTTTCGCTGGGCCTGTCAAAGTCGGCCACGTCGCTCGTCTGGATCGCAGGCCCCGTCTCCGGTCTCATTGCCCAACCCCTGATCGGTGTCCTGTCCGACTTGAGCACCTCACGCTGTCGGAGAAGGCAGTACATCCTCTCTTCGACCCTTGTTCTGAGCCTTTCAACGCTAACGTTGGCGTTCAGTGGGCCGATCAGCACGCTCCTTTGCGACATACTCCACACCGGGCTCGCTGACTGGGACCCGCGCCGCAAGGAAGCCGTCAAGCAAATCAACCAGGGCCTCGCCATTCTCGCCTTCTGGATTCTTGACCTGAGCATCAATGCTTTGCAGGCCAGTGCAAGGGCCCTCATCCTCGATGCGACGCCCAACAACATGCACTCTCGCGCAAATGCCTGGCACGGTCGCATGACGCACGTTGGAAACGTCGTCGGATACGCTGCAGGATGGGCCGATTTGGGCAGCAGCAGGGCTCTGGCTTGGCTCGGTGGGGATCAATTCCGCAAGTTTGCTGTCGTCAGCATCATAGGCGTCACCACATGCGCAGTCATCACCAGCGTCAGCATCCAGGAGGCCTACTCCTTGCCAGGCGATACCGTCTTGCCCTCGTCGGCAGCTTCCCAACACACAGCCATGTCGCCAACCGATGATCACCCGCGTCAAGCTCGTCAACGAAGCCGCCCACCCTCACCGACATTTTCCAAGCTGATGGGGGAGGCTCTTGGTCACATTTGGCACTCGATTCGCAGGCTTCCTCGAGCTGTACGAAGGGTATGCGTGGTGCAGCTATTTGCGTTCATGGGATGGTTCCCCTTTCTGTTCTATGCAACCGAATGGCTCATAGAGACGAGGCAAGCGGAACGAGAAGCAAACCACGCGAAGCTTGGTGGGGGCGACGTCACCGACAAGGATAAAGAGATGGGCAGTCTAGCTTTGCTGTGAGTTCATTATCTTTCCCCTCCTTTGACATATGGGCTGACATAGTCTGTGCGTAGCCTCTTTGCCATTGTCTCGCTCGTATCCGGTGCTGTCCTGCCCTTTCTCTCGCTGTCTAATTCTGCAAAGGCCACACAGCAGCCGATCCACCTTGAAGGACCAGAAAGACAGCCACTTGGCCGACAGTCCCGTGCCCATCGACAGGTCAATGGTGCTGGCGAAGCCCACGGCGAGGAAGGTGCATTCTACGATGGAGATGACGACGGTGTCGGCGAGAGCCAAGACAAAGGCGTTCAGGCATCATTGTCATCCTCGAAGAAGCCTGGCAAGCTAACACTTCGGACTATGTGGACCCTCTCATCGGTCCTCTTTGGCCTCCAGGCTGGCATCGTCACCTTTTTCGTGGAGAAGTCGAGCCGCGCTGCCATCGTCTTGATTGCATCGATTGGCGTGCCATGGGCGGTGGCAAGCTGGGTCCCGTTTGCTCTCGTCATGGAGGCTGTGCGCGAGGCCGAAGAGGGTCTCTCGCCATTCGAATTCGATGCCGATTGGTTCGCGCCGCAACAGGTCAGGAGGCGACGAAAGAGGAGAAAGATGGATGACGAAATACGACGGCGCAGTCGGACTTTTTCTGCAAGCCTTGACCATGACAACGACGAAGAAGAGAGTGGAGAGATTGGCGAGGAGGAGGCGAGGAGAAGGGTGGCAAGGGCGGTGTTGGACTGCGGGGAGCTCGTTCCCTCTTCTTCTTCACCGTCCGGACAGAGCAGGCGAAGGCTCTCGCGAACCTTGGCGGGCGAGTCTGGCTCACCTCGACGAGGACTGTCCGGTGTCGAGGGCTCGAACGGCGGAGGTGCAGCGGCCATTCTCGAGGTCACCAACGTCGAAGACGATTCCAACAACACCAGCAATGCTAATGGCGACTCGTTGGGAGGCACGGTGCTGGGCATCCACAACTTGGCAGTCGTCCTGCCCCAGCTCGTCGTGGCTGTCGTGGCCGCCCTCATCTTTCGCGCAACCTCATCGGACGCTGTAGTCACAACACCTACTGGAAAAAGAGGGGAGGTGGGAGGAGCCGTCGTTTGGGTCATTCGGTTCGGAGGCCTGCAGTCGCTCTTTGCGGCCATCCTCACGCGCTTTGTGCCATTGACAAGAACAGAGAGGGCTCTACGTGGCGACAAGAATCTGTTGGGAAACGCCGAGCTCGACGAGGATGATGAAGTGAGCGAAGATGAGACTGACTGAACGCTCTATTTCATGTTGAACTGTAACATAATTTCAATGGGATGTGATCACACCTTCTTTTCGTGAAAAAGCATGTTGAAAGGTGATGATGTGGATTGGGAATGGACAGAAGCTACACGTAGAATCACTCAAGAAAGAATGATCTGTAAGAAAAATACACGAAGAGAGAAAGAGAGAAGAGTAGCATCATGAGCGAGAAGAGGATGGGCCAAGCAATGGCATCGACTCATCCGGCTCAATGTCATGGTGTGGGGTTGGTGCTGTCGAGGGAGAAGGAATCGAGGAAGAAGCAGAGGGTTCATGAAGCGCCGGTGCTGGGGGAGTGGGAGGCACAGGGACCGTGACTAAAAAAAATTGAAGTGTCAGCGACATCAATTTTGAGAAGGTTGATTTGAGTCAAACTTACTGTCGCGCTTGCAGATCGGACACAGCTTGCGAACCTTGAGCAGCCACGAGTCGATCTCGGGCAGGTGAAAGACATGACCACAAGGCAGAACGCGCACCTTGTCGCCGTCAACAAATTCAGAAAGGCAGATTGCACACTCGTCGCAGCTGTAGTACGATCGTCCGGGAGGCAGGAAAGAATGGTGGTTTGTCGGCGGAGGAGGAGGGATGGGTGTAGTCTTGAGAATTTGCCTAGAGGGTCCGGGAGCAGCCTCGCCGTCGTCTCGGTCGTCTCCGACGGTGTCGAGCTCGACTTGCCCACCTGTCCCTCGCTCCACGTCTGCTTCGGCGAGTGCTGACTGTTCGCAGGCAGAAGACGAAGCCGAGGCTGGCGAGCCGTTTGGAGAAGCAGCCCCCTCACCGGCATTGTTGACAACCCCTTCGATCTTTTCCCATGGCTGGCCATTTCCCCGCCAAATCAGGCAAGGCAATCCGAGAACGACAGGCTCCGGTGCCCTTTCCTTTCTCCTCTGACGCGCGAGTCGGATTCGGTGCACGATGATGGTCGTGATGGTCATAAAGGACGGGAGTAGGAGCAGGATGAAAGCCAGATCGATCAGAGGCCACTCCCACATAATATCATCCCTTCCCAAGACGACCTCGAGCCCGCCTCGCCTGCCGTCTCTTGCCATCGGGTCCTTGCACGCTTCTTCTTTTGCTTTGCCCTTTGCAGCACGACACTCTTGCCTCTGCTGCTCGCTTCGCTCCTTGTCCATCTCCTCGATAAGCCGCGTGAGATCCAAGTAGCTGGGCCGCGTCACAAAGGCACTGGGGATCTGGATGTCGCGCGTGTCGCCAGGCGCAAACATCGTCACCAATCGACCACTCAGGCCAGGATCGCTGTCCTCGCCCGGATCGTTGCCAGGTCCCTTTTCGTAGCCGGGGCTCGGCGCATCTCCCACAACGACGGCCGTGGCGCCGAGCGCCTGTGCGACGCGGACCTTGGCAATGAACGCACAGCCGCCGCCGCGCTCGACGAGGGCGATCCAGTCCTTGGGCGGTGTAGGACCCTTCTTAGCATTGTGTACATCGGAAAGGACACTGCGGCCGACATCTCTGCCGTCTTCATCATCATCGTCGTCATCGTCAAAGTCCTGATCGCGCCACCCCGGCCCATCCTTGTAAGGACATCCGTGATTGTCCGCTAGTGATGCTGCTGAGGAACTTCTAGAAGGGGTCCTACTTTGGCTGTCGTGGGACAAGTCCCGATAAAAGTCACTCATGGGCAGCAATGCGCCACGGAGTCCATCGTCAGACGTGATCCTTGGTCCAAAGGCGGCTGGTCGAGTGAGGTAGGTCGCTTGCGTTTTCTGTCATTGTTGCCCTTTAATCAGCATGCAAGCAAGCTGTATCAGTGCATGGTGAAGTATGCGACTCACCACTACCTCGAGCGTGCTGCCACCCCAAGCGAATGTGGCGCTGTCCCCACCAAAAAAGCCGCCACCGCCTTCACCGGTGGTCATGTCCCCATCGGAGGGGATCCACGAGTCGAAGAGGCGGCCAATGCGATCGAGGAGCGAAGTCTGCGCACTGGGAGCACCCTCGGCCAGAGGCGCCATCATCGACAGTGCCGCATGGTCGTGTGTACGCAACGAGGACTGGGGCGCAGATGTCGAAGCCGAATGAGAGACTTGTGCTGCATAGACGAGCGATAGGACGAGAAGCACGAAGCGCCGGGGTGGGTGCATCGTCGCTAGATGCACAGCGATGCGTGCGACCTCTAAAGAAAGCGAAAATGGGGTGAATGAGGAAACACAAGGGCCTTAATAGATCAAAGGGGCCCGATAACTCGTGATGGCGAGGACAAAGGAGTCTGGTGTCGTTGCACACAAAATGTAATGCGAGTCCAAAAGTGGGCTCAGTCCACGCGATCGCGCACTGCTCGGAGGCCTGCATATACTGTACGAATCGCTCCGCCTGCATCACCCCAAGCTATTTTTAATCTTCATCCTTTTTGTACCAGTCAGACAACAACAAAGACGATTGGGTTTGTGTGTATTCATTGAGACGAAGAGCAAGCAACGGGTGGAGAGGGTGGACTTGGCATAGGGCGTAGATAGTGCGTCACGAGGCACTTTTATTAGTGACCCGAGGAAGAGCCAAGTTTGCGTGTGACACGGTGATCACCATGTCCGTTTTCGTCGTGCGAAGCGTCTGCATCGTGTTCTTGCTCGTACCTGGCGGCGGCCTCTTCCTCTTGGGGGTCTCTGCCCAACGCGATTCTCCCTTCTTCCGAAGCCGGCTCGCCTTCTTCGAGGAGCCTGTCCTCCTGCTCCTGCTGCTGCGTTTGGCTGATGCTCTTCTGCACGATGCTGCCCAAGATTGCCACAGCCTGGAGACCAATAGCAAGGACGATGGCTGCCGTGATCTCGGGTGGCCTCCTCTCGCCGAGTCCACCGATACCGCGCTTCGAGTCGCCGTAGAGAAGGGCAAGGTGGAGATAAATGCCTGCGGCGGCCCATGTGACGTCCATCGTCGCAAAGATCCAAATAGCGCTCAGGGCACCCATGCTGCACAGCACGGCAAAGCTTGGCCACAAAGCCTTGTGAAGATTCTCAAAAGCGGCCTTCCCGCCCTCAGACACGTCCCAGCCTAGCGCAACAAATGTCTGCTGGGGAATGTCGAGCTGGATAATGGTCACGAGGAACATTTTGATGGGGACGTGGATGAAGAGCCAATCGAGAGGACGAGAGAGCGAGGGTGGATATCGGATCTGGAGCAAGAGCACTGTGATGAGAAGTAAGAGCCCGCACAGCGAAAGCAGCACAAGACCGATGAGGTGCGAGACGTGCTTGTTGAGCACCCATGTGACTGCCCAGGCCGCCAGGAGCAGGTTGGAAAACGCTAATCGCAATCCGACGCCATTGACGATCGTACGCTGTGCGATCATGAACAGTAAGAGCAAGAATCAGGAGTCAGCTTCGTTGAAAAATCGGCTTTTCCGACGGCTTCGACCCCAACGATGCAGTTTCTACCGTCGACGCTCCTGCTCCTCGGTGTAGTTCCTACCCTCAATGCGTCTGGTGGTCCGAGCGCGAGCGCTCGGTCACCTACGACGCCTTTACTTTCCCTTCTAACGCTCCCATTTCCTCTTTCTCTACTTAAGTCCTTTGCTCTGTTCATCGTCTGAACGATCGGGCTGCATTCGAGCAAATGGAGAGCGTAACGCACCTTGGTGAACTCCTTCTGGCTCAGGACAACAAGCAGAGCGAAGCCGACCTGGAGCAAGAACATGATAGCCCAGAAGAAGAGGACAAGCGATGCGTTGGGCGTCAGGTAGGTGCCATGTTCCTGCGAGACTTGGCCTAAGCCAGGACTGATGGCGACTGCGCACACGGTCAAGGCCGCCAGGGTGACGAGGACGCTAAGCGGTGTCAGCGCCTGCACTTTTGTCATGTGCCCTTGATTCATCGTGGGAGGTGCCTCTGAGGTATGCTCAGGACTTGCTACGGGCTGATAGATGTGGTCGGCAAAAGGGCGCGGATGGCTGTTGCTCGTAGCCGTCGCCGTCGCCATTAGTTGAGAGGAGAAATCGTGCGTCTAGGCTTCTGCAGAAAGCCAAATACCGTAAAGTTTGTGGAGATGAGAACGTCATCACGCGTCAAGGAACAAAACCCTGGCTTCTTGTCGCATTGTCGTAACGCCTTGAGTTGCGCGCTCATGGTGATAGCGAATGGCTCCGCAATGATAACGAGCGATTGCGAGCCTGATGAGATCTTCATGGCGTAAGCATGTGTCTGTATCGAAGACTCCGCCCCCGACCTGGCAAAGAAAACAAAAAAAAAAAAAAAAAAAAAAAAAAAAAAAAAAAAAAAAAAAAAAAAAAAAAAAAAAAAAAAAAAAAAACCAGCACCCCTCTGACAGTGAGTGAGCCAGCATTGGTGCTTGACCTGTTTCTCTTCGGACTGTCTCTAGATAAATGACTTCGTGAAGTGCCACCTGACCGCTCTTATTGCCAAACTTCCAGACAGGACGAGCCTTTGGAGCCATCAGAAGCCTTGCCCGGTGCGGGAGGCGTTAGACTAGGGGCTGTATTGAGACGACGTGGGGAGCCTTAGAGCGCACGTGGAAATTTAGCTCAGCCTCTTTTTGGACTCCATTGGAACTCTGCTGCATCGTACCGCGCGGTCGCACTTCACCGCCACCACTAGCACGCCTCGCCTTCAACGGCTTATAAGGCGTCAGTCTCTCTCCTCACCAAGCTTTCCACCCATTACTGGCTCTCCAACGCCCGTGCGCTCTCGAATAGCCAGTCCACATGTCTTCGTACACGCAAGCACCGCCGGGGTACGCCCCCTCGAAGCATCACAAGGGCCAGTACCAGTCAATTCCTCAGGATGACGACGAGGCCGGGCCGTCCGCTCCTCTGCTCAACACAGGACCCAGAGAGGAGGGCGACATCGACACAGATGACTTCAAGTTCAGTGTCACTGTCGAACAGAGTGCACCCGAGATTCGCCAGATGTTCCTCAAGAAGGTGAGCTAAACATTTTGTGAGCGCTGGCTTCCTCTGCTAACGCATGCATCGCTCTCTTCAGGTTTATGCCGTGCTCTTCCTGCAAATTCTCGGAACCACCGTTGCCTCGTATCTCTTCAGTACTCGCACCGTGACGACCTGGGTTCAACACAACCAGTGGTCGGTCATTGTCGCACTGATCGGTAGCTTTGTGTCGATGGGTGTCCTCTTCTGGAAGCGACACTCTCACCCGCTCAACCTTGGTCTTCTCGCTCTCTTTACCGTCATCGAGTCCTTCTCCCTCGGTTTGGTCGCATCCCACGTCTCGAAGCGCATCTTGCTGCAGGCCCTGGTCATCACTCTCTTTACCTTTGCCGGCCTGACGTTCTTCACCTTCCAGTCCAAGCGAGACTTCTCCGGCATGGGCCCATGGCTCTACGGTGGACTCATGCTCCTCGTCGGCCTCAGCTTTATTCAAATTTTCTTTCCCTTCAGGAGGAGCATCGACATGGCCTTTGCTGCCGGCGGCTGTCTCATCTTCTCGGGCTACATCGTCTACGACACCCACATGATCCTGAAGAGGCTGAGCCCAGAGGAGTGGGTCATGGCTGTCCTTTCCCTTTAGTGAGTCGCTTTCGTGTCTTCCTCCGTGTTCCGGATGCCCAAAGCTGACACGAGCCTCACGCAGCCTTGACATCATCAACCTCTTCCTCAGCGTCGTTCGCATCCTGAACGGAGCCAACCGCGATTGATCTGCGATGTTCTACATTTCGCTCGTCCTCTGTTGACTCTCTTTCTTATCCGCTTGTCTTTGTGAATTGGCTCTCCAAGTTTTGGTTGAATGTGATTTTCGATCTGTGTCTTTGGTATCTCACCGTCTCAGCCCTTCCTTGAACGCAAAATGCAGAATCAGTCGTCGATCATTCTCGGATCCGATGCTTTTGAGTCGTTTGTCAAGACCAGTACGGTGCAGTACTTCGTTCGCTGATTTCAAGCTGTTTCATCTCGAGCATCAAGTGCCACTATAAAGCCTGATCTTCGAGCTCTTGGGCAGAGGAATTGGACAAAGTCTTTACCAAGCAATAGAAGCCGGGTGTAGGATGGGCGCGACCGAAGTCAGATGAGCCAAGTAATCGACCTCCGTGTGGCTGAGCGACAAGCGGCTGAGGGGTCAGCACCAGCCATTTGGGGTGCAGAGATCCTTAAAGCGCCCTCGTCTTCGGGACAAAGGACAGCAGAAGTAGTGCGGCATTCTTCAGATGAAGTCACATGTTGCAACACGTTGCCACGAAAAGTCCGATCGAATTGCGGAGAGACATTATGCAACACCTTCAAACGCATTTCGTCGCAATTCTGCTTTATGGCTGCGAGACCGCGCACTCAGACGGAACTCCGTGGCCTTGGGGCGGGCGGCAACGCTGGTGCACAGCATCCAGGACCAACCAGACGCACTTGCTTAGCCTTTCTGCTTCGTGGGCTGGCTTCCGATGCCGGCTCGGTCTCTTTTCCTTGGCTAAAGCCAGCCAGAGCATAAACAAGACTTTCCTCTTCGGGCGAGCCTAAGCAGAGAATCCAGACGTTGCAATTCCATGATACAGTATCAATTATTAATTACTTCTCACTTCATTGATGCGCGAAGCGCTCACATAGCGGAGCCAAGAAGGAAGAGAGGAGCGTGTGCATATGTATGTGCACGAAGCTAGATCAGCTAGCTAGAGAGAGAAAGAGCAAAGAGCACGCAGGTGGGACAAGATGCGGGGGTCCCTGCGCGAAAGCAAGCCCAAAATAAAATGGCCGACAGAATATCAATGCAAGGAGTTTCGGAAGAAGGGCTCGTGCATTTTTTACTTTTTCGCTGTTCTTTTGCCCTCAGGTTCCATTCATCGCCATGCACGCCGCGCGCGCCGCCCACATATTTGGTTTGGCGTGTACCGCGTCTTTGGCACCGTAGCCCACGGGCGGCAATTTGTCTTGGCCCTGATCGCATTGCATGCATTTGTGCTGCTGCTTCACTACTACGTACTAGTTACTACTGTATGTATGTACCGGCCATTCGTGCATGTTGCTTTCATTGTTGCCGTCCATATGGCTCTCAGCGAGCATTGAGCAGTCGCTCGCGCACAGAGGTGTGGAAATTGGATGCACAAACAACGGCCCAATGCTCGACCTTTTTTCCACGAAAGAAAAAATTGACGCAGGTCTCCCATCGAGGTCATTCCACTGCTGCTACTTTTTGCATCCTCGCCGTTGGTCCTTCGTCCGAATGAGGAAGTTCTACGTCACGGCCTGCCATAGAATCGGCCGTATTGGACTTGGCGGCGCGTCTACACTGTCTCTCTGCTCGTAGTATGGAAGTTTGTACGGGCGCTCGCTTGCTGACCGAAGTTGCCTGCCTACTGCCAGCCTGCCTGTTTTGGAAACAAGTTATATAGACCGAGCGGCTCACTTGCCTCTTTTGACTACATCCATCCACTCTCTCGCACCGCATCTACTCCATCCTCCCCACCAGAGCAGGCTTCCACACACGTCCTGCAACCACACGCTCATTCAGTCTTCTTTGCTCTTCCACTGCACAATCTCCCACCACAATGCTCTTCACAAAGGCGTCCCTGGCCATTGTGGCCCTCGCCTTGTCCATGGGTATGGCAGCTGCCGGGCCGGTCCCCGCCGTTGAAGCCAACACCGACGTTGTCGCTCGCGGCATGCTTGGCAGCAACAACATGCTCGTCTCGTGGGAGTCTGTGCCCAACAGGCGATCGCCCTTGGACCCAGAGCTCTCTGAGCTCGACAAGCGAATTGTCTACAACCCCAAGATCGAGCAGCCTGCAGCAGGCACCGTTTGGTGTGCCGGCAGCCAGCAGGAGGTGACCTGGTGAGTGGTTGTCATGGCTCCACTATTACTCAAGTTTTCTCACGCTGAACAACACTGCTTTCTTCTCTCTCTCAGGGACACATCGGCATACAAGCAAGAATACGGTGACCTCAAGGGCACGATTGTCCTCGGTCAGCACAAGGCCAACAATGAAGGCGGCCTGAACCTGCAGAGCTCGCACCCATTGGCCAAGGACTTCTCGCTCAGCTCCGGAAAGACGACGGTCAAGGTTCCTTCCACTACCGCAGCAGGCGACCGGTACATCATTGTGCTCATGGGCGACAGTGGCAATGCTTCCAAGGAGTTCAGCATCAAGCCCGCCGGTCAGTGCGGAGGCGCCAAGGAACAGAGCAACGGTGACGATAGCATTGCCGACTTCAACCCGCTTAAGAGCAACTTCGCCAAGTCGATCGAAGAGGCTGTCGAGCTGCCATCGGCATGAGGGAAGAGAGACTTTTCTCCCTTTTTGTGCTCATCCTTCTCGTCATGAGTGGAAGACTGGTTTCTTCCCTCCCCATTGCATTTCTCCGTCTCTCCTCTGTGTCTCTTCCCCACCCCACCCTGCTGTAGATTAATCAAGCTCTTTTCTTACCGTCTCGCCATTTCGTTCGAGTGGTACGAGCTCCAAACGGACATTTCTTCCCTCAAATGAAATCTCATTATCATCCTTCTTCTTTTCTAAAACTCTCCCCTCTCTCTTTCAGGACGAATGATGATGGATGGGCGCCAGAGGTCCCAGACGGCCCCGCTGAGTGCTTGTTGTTTTTTCAGGCTCAAAATATGCTGGTCTGTGCACGCGTCCGCTCTCGAGCGGACTCGTCGCGCTGAGGCAGGCCCTTTGTTCTCCACTCCTACGATCTCCTTTGTTATCGGACGTCGACATGTTGCTGAAGTGGAGTCTCTTCCTCTTGGCGCTCTTTGTGGCGTCCTCCTCGCAGCAGCAGCAGCCGGGTGGGCGTCCCAGAACGAGTAAGGTTGCCATTATTGGTGCGGGCCCAGGCGGCACAAGCGCAGCCTTCTTCCTGTCAAAGGCCCAGGAGAAGCTCGAGGCGCTTGGTCGAGGAAGCGAGGGCTTCGACGTCACCGTCTTTGAGCGCGAAGAGAGAGTCGGTGGACGGACCGCGACGGTACGTCCTTACGATGACGAGAGCCTGGAACCCGTCGAGCTTGGCGCCAGTATCTTCGCCAGCGTCAATCTCAATCTCCAACGAGCTGCCAAGGTGAGAGAAGCAGGCCGCTTTCGTATACGAATGACATGTGCACGCACTGACACAGTCTTTGGATGCAAGGACTTCAACCTCTCCACCGATGCCAAGCTTGGAACCAATGGGGCCATTGGCATCTGGGACGGCCAGCAATTTCTTATAGAGGGGCTCGACAACAGCTGGTGGAACTCGGCGCGCATGCTCTGGCGGTACGGTTACTCGCCCATGAAAACCAAGAATCTCGTGGCGGATGTCGTCTCAAAGTTTGTCAGGCTCTACGACCCCACCTATCTACACAAGACCCAGGCTGCCGAAGGCAGCATCGTCGCCACCACCGGGAGCGAGAACAAGACAACGAGCGGATTCCCATGGGCGTCAATCGAAGACATTGCCAATGCTATGGAGCTGAGTGGTCTGGTGGCTGTCGACGCAGGCGACTACTTTTATGAGCAAGGTGTCTCCAAGCTTTTCGTGAGTGGTAGTACTGCACAGCGTGCAAGGAAAAGAGATTGTCTGACGCCAGAGCCAGGTTGAGGAGGTTGTTGAGGCCGCCAGCCTTGTCAACTACGGTCAGGAAATCTATTCTATCCATGGTGTCGGAGGCCACGTCTCCTTGGCCGCCAGTGGAGCAAAGGGCGTCCGAGGAGGCAACTCGCAGGTGTTTCAAGAAATGCTCGGTCGCAGCGGCGCGCGCCTCAAGCTGGGCGTGCAAGGCGAAGTGACTGGCCTGGCGCGCTTCGACACTGTCGAGGAAGCCATCAAGGCCGGCAAGCTGACGCATGCTCAGGCCATTGAGCGTGGCTATGCAAACGAGATGGGAGACAAAGCGACAAAGTGGTGGCTCGGCACAAAGTCGGGCTATGGCGATCTTTACGACTATGTCTTTATCGCTGCGCCGTGGCACTCGGCAGGTATCACTCTTCTCAACACCCGGGCAGTGATTCCATCTGCAAAATACGTTCATCTCCACGTTACCATTCTCGTCACCAATGCCGAACAGCCAGACCCGCGGTACTTTGGACGAGGCGAAAAGGACAGTGTACCCACGACGGTCCTCACCAGCCACGCTTCGATTCGCAAGACCAAGGCACCATCTTCAAGTCCGTCCTTCCGTTCCTTTTCGCAGTCAACCCTGGCTCTTTTGGGCAATCCAGTCGCTGCCATTGCGAATATCATTGCGGGATGGTGGCCTGGCAGTGGCGGTGACAACGAAAAGAAGGGGCCTGTGATTGATGTGGGTACATGACCGTCCCCTCTCATTGCGCATCGATTCACTGACCCTCGACAACTCTGACGAACCCAGTTCAATTCGCTCAGCTACCTCGCAGAGATTCCCGCTCGGCAAGGCGCAAAGGACGGCGAAGAGGAATCACCAAAGGAGCACGTCGTCAAGCTTTTCTCCGAGAAGGAGCTCAGCGACGACCACCTCGAGGCCATCTTCGGGAAGGGCAGGGTGCTGTGGACTCATCGAAAGCAGTGGGACGCCTACCCGTACTTGACGCCGACACGCGATTTTGCGCCGTTGCAAGCCGACGACAACCTTTTCTTCCTCAATGCATTTGAGAGGTGGGTTGTCTTCTTTCACGTATCCATCTATCGAGCGATTCTCCCGTACCGAAGAATGATCACTCAATCAATGTTACTCCAACAGACTAATCAGCACGATGGAAACGAGCACCGTGTCGGCGAGAAACGCAGTCGCAATCGTTCTGCAGCGCAAGCTCGGCTTCGACTTTGTCCATGGTGGCCAAGCCTGTCCTTGGGAAAAGGAAAAGTCTACGGACGACGACAACGACGACAACAAATTCAACAAGAACTGGGCAGACTGGGGTTGCAAGAGCGGATGATGATGCTTCTCTTCTGTTCCCTCGCCTTTTCTCCCTCACGCGTGACGCCTGATCGTATTCCCAGCACTTCTTCTCACCTTACTATATATATCTATCAAGACTGGATCGAAACTACTGCTGTCTTCGTCGTGCTCTCAGCTGCGGCAGCCATCAGTTGTATGATTTGTGCGCGCAGTATTGAGCGGAGCGTTCGGCGTCGGATGATGTTGGGAGATGGGTTCATGCCAGTATGGGAGTCGGAGAATGCGAGAGACACGGCGGGGCGGGGGCGGGGGCGGGGGCGGATCGCCGCGTTGGCAGCGACAGAAGGATAGAGGGGACGAAAGAGAAGGGCAGAGGAGGATGGTCAGCAAACTACAGCGCATGAGTTCCCCGCTCCTCCCCAAAAAGAGGACGGGATGCAGATTAAGTGTGTGCCGAGTGAGTCGGAGAGAACGAGGGAGAAGAGAGGGGGATTGTCCGGCCTCTCCGCCCCCTCTCTGGTGTTTTTGGGCGCCTTTCCATTCCGACTCACCTTGAGGCTGCAAACGGCACAACGAAGAGGGGAGAGAGAAAGAGACCGAGCTGGACGGAGGATGAGGGAGAAGGAGAAAGAGAAGGAGAAGGAGACGAAGAAGAAGAAGAGAGCCTTCGTCGGAAACAAAAGCCCAATACAGTACAGTATCTAGGCCCATGTCGAAGAAAATTGTTTCTCTTCCTATCGATGTTTCCCTCAGCCCCAGAGAGACTGCGACGTTCAGGGTCCTCTCTCGCTGCTCCCCCGTACATGTATGCAAGTTTAGGCAACGCATCTGTTAGAAAAAAAGCTATTACTAGTGCACCCACTTGAATCCCTTGAACAATGCTTTATCCTTGCCCATCGAGAACGAATCCGAAATTACAAAAAGGGCGCCGTCTTCCTTCATCTCCTAGTCCACCTTTGATCTGTGCATCGCAATTGCGAAGTCTAGCATCGGAACTCGGCGCCGGCGTACTTCATACAGCCGTGCCTGAGAAACACTGAAAAGCCTGTCGGCGCACGGGCAGAAGTGTGTGAGCTTGACGAGAAGATCAATGTAGCGCCTTGGAGAGAAGAATTGCCCAGCGAGAGTTACCCGAGCAGATCAAAGAGGGCGGCATTTCCTGGACGTAGAGCTGGCCGGCTAATTCAAGGCTCACTGTCTTCTTTCCACAACACATTCGTTCACACGAGAGTAAACAAGGGTCACAAAATGAAATTCATCAATTGACGACAGCTTTAGGCCAGGGTCTCCTGGAAGAACTTGCCGGTGGTGCTGACCGACTCTTCCCAGCCGGCCTTCACCTTGGCATCTTCAAGGTCAGGTCGGCAGCCGCTGTGAATTGGTAGATTTGTTTGTAATGGGTCAGTGCAAGCAGAGAAAAGAGGGGGAATGGTGAATGGCGAGCAGACTCACAATCCGTGGACGGTGTTGGGGTATTGCTTCGTCCTTGAGTCGAGGAGGTTTCTGGACTTGAGCGTCTTTTCAAACGTGTCCTTGAGCTCGCCGAACAGGGGGTCGAGCTCAGCCTCGTTGAGGAGCGTCTTGGTCTGGATCTTCTCCGCGTCGCTGGCCTCGAGCAGGCTGGGGTGATAGAGCGCGATACCCTTGACAGCGCCCTCCTGCGCGGCAATAACAGCGAGCTTGGCGCCGTAGCAGTATCCGATGGCGCCCGTCGGGCCTTCCTTGCTCACTTCGTCGATGACCTTCTTGAAGATAGGGTACGTCTTGTCGGGTCCGTGTCCCTTGCCCATCCAGGCCATGAAGTTTTCGAAGTTCTTGCCCATGCGCTCCTCGCTGGGAGGGCCCGACGAGGCTTTGTTGGGCAGCTGGAAGTCATCGGGCTTGATGGGCCCATTGGGGAAGATGTCGGGAATGTACACGTTGAGACCGCTCTCGTTGGCGATGATGTCGGCCACGATCTTGGGGTTTGGGATGCCAAGGCCGTAGATGTCAGTTGCGACGACGACGTTTCCCTTGCGGCTGCCCTTGGACACATATGTCGTGACGCCGTTGATCTGTTGCGTCGAGCCCTGCTCCTTGCCGGGCAGTTCCTTGAGATCGATGCAGCCTTCGCAGAATGACATGGTTGCAGTTGTGATGCCTGGGGTCTTGTTGGAAGCGTTGGCGGTTGTAAGAGATGTGACGGGCTTAAGAAAAAGCAGTGGAGATGCTGGATATTCGTTTGCCGAGGTGGAGACTACGAAGTGGAGTACAGTCCAGTCCTCGAAGGTGGAGTGAAGGTCATCCCACCAAAGTCGATTTCGTCATAGGATGACGAACGATGTGACAGATTTTGCTTTTGTGCATTTCATTCTCCCGCCCTGAGCTACGTTGATATATACAAGATTGAGGAGGAGGAGGACTGCAACGCCCTTCCTGCCCTATTTCTGAAGTTTTGCAATCGATACAAGTACACGCAAGGCACGGGTCGTCGCATAATCGTCTCGCTGCGGGCGTTTTAGTAGTCGTCGACGGACACATACTGCTGCGCAGCCTTTTGCTCCATCAATCTCGTCCTGTCCCTCTGCTCCTGCGACTCCTCCTCTGGAGGGACCTGGCCTCCGTCAGAGTCGCGCGCTTCTCTTTCCGACGATCTCGTCCTCCTATCCATGGGTGCAGGCGAGCTCGTCCTGGAGCTAGTCATCGTGATTGTCTGACGATCAACGGGCCCGATGCCGCCGACGGTCCCGCTTCCGTCCCTTCCTCTCAGTCTCCTCCTCACTCGCTCTCCATCGGATTCAGCCGTAGCAGGAGCCGGAATTGCGGCCGCTGCCGCTGCCGATGTGGAAAGCCTTCTTCGTTCCGCCGCCGAGATCTCGGCCGCCAGGGCCATCTCCTCCTGCATAAGGCGGGATTGGCACGTGTTGGCCTCATCGTCGCCCTCGTCCTCCCAGCTTAAAAGCTTTTCCAACGGCTGGCCGCATGCACACACATCTTGACTCGAATGAATGTTGCCCCACTTGTTCTGATCCCAAAAGTCCCTTGCCTTGTCCGGGACTGGCAAGGGGTCCATCTCCGAGTACGTAGGGAGGCGAAGCGAACGCCACATGCAGCAGCACTAGTCGTTGTGTATCATGACAAGAGGTTAGCAGAGAAATTAGACAAGAGAAATTTAGAAAAGACGACTAGAGAATATGACTCACAGAGGGAAGAATGAGCGGCCAGGAGGCAGAGTAGACAAGCGACTTTGCTGGTTGCGCTCCTTGCTCGGGCGCAAAGATGATCTTTGCCTCGAGGAGGTGCGACAGCCGAATCGCTGACCTGCTCCCGCCCAAGGTGCTGGGCCTAATTTGGTCATCGCCGGGGAGACGGGCGATCCAGGCGCCCTCAAAGGTTTTCGCGACACCGTCACTGTCCCGAATGAACTCTTTGAGCTTGTCGCCCTCTACGCTGAAGAATTCGACGCGGTCGGGTGCGCATCGTTCGGTGTAGCCTTGCCGCTTGCGACTGTGCAGTGTCGTCGTCTCGATCAGAGAAAAGACTATGCGATTCAGCTTCACGGTTGGCGAGAGGCTCGGTAGCGACACGGCCAGGCGGAGGTAGCCGCCTACGGTCAGGTGTTGGCTTCGGGCGTGGACGATAATGGGGCCGAGGTGTTCAGCCGCCGATCGGTGCGTCCGGGCGTAGTCGAGGATGTTGGAAGTGCGGGGGATGCAGACGAGAAAGGCGTCCTTCTCGGCCACAAGGCTTCTACTGCCGCCGCCCTTGAGCCAGCTTCCCCAGCCGTCCCAGTCGAACTTGACGCGGATGCGCTGGTACACACGACCGTAGGTGCATCGCTCGTACGGCGACGTGTCGTGCTTGACCTCAAGGGGAACTTCCCAGGTGTACACCTTGCCGCTTGACAGAGCCATGTTGGTCGCGCTCTCGACCTTCTTTGTGATCTGCATCGAGAGTTGTTGCTCGAATGCACCCTTTGGAAACTGTGTATGTGTGCGTGTGTTAAGTAAAGATTCAATGGTTGACATCGTAGGAAGCGCTTGAGCAACTCACGCCCAGGGTCTCGTTGCCTCGGAGCTCGACGGTAAGGGCGTTGATCTTCTCTGGCGGTTGCATGCCCTCGGGGATGGTGAGAGCGATGCTGACGACAAGGATGGCTGGCGGCAGTTGTTCTTCCTGGTCGGGCTCTGGCGCTGCGTTGGGATCAAGATCAAAGGGCACTTGTCCACCACCTGAACCGGGGTATAGGAATAACGGCTCGTCCGACAGGGTTACTTTTCTGTGTAGCATTGCAGAATTTCCACCGTTGTTCAGCAAATCAACACCTTCTGACCAAAGGACGTGCGATGGTGGTGCTACTCACAGTTGCATCTGCTGCTGCTTTGAGAAGAGGCCAGGGGCCAGGCCCAAGCCCTTGCTTGTGGCCGTGCCATCAGCCGACATGCGGGCGGCCTTGACTATCGCTCCTAATTCCTTCAGCGTAAAGTGTTTCCAGTAAGGCGGTGGGGGTCGTGTGAGTGGGCGTGTCATTATGGTATGGTGAGGTTGGGATTAGGTGGGAGAGGGAGATTGTCAGACGGTTGTTTGCATCGTCGAAGGGAGCACAAGGGGGTGAATGGGGAGAGGAACGTCATGCTCACCCTGGTGTTATAGCAGGATTAATGCTGAGTCTCAAGCTCCGCTGACTCGACTCGGAGCTTTATCTCAGCGTCGGCGAGGCAGTGGCTAGTAGTGCAGGCAAATATCTCTTGACAGCCTGCCTGCGGGCAAATTGAACACCCGGCAACTGACAGGAACACGGGGGCAGCAGCAGGAGTAGTGAATGCGGGCAATGCAGGTTGCAATCCCAATTTCCCCTGCCGGGTGTGTGAAGCGCTTGCGAGGGCAGGCGGCAAACGACAGGACAGCCCGAAAGCCTCAATTTTTTGGTGACTCGAGGAGAGGCGGGGAACGGGTGACGTTTCTTGACAAAGACGCCAATCTCCTACTCGCGGCGCCCAGATCAGACAAGAATTCGGGCAGCAAATGGTCTGTGCCTACGTGTCTTGGAAGCTTCCAGACTGATGCGACGGGAGCCGTCGTGGCGTGCCCGGCTTTTTGTGAAAGATGGTCAGGCAATGCAAACCCTGCGAAGAGACACACTCAGCACCTCGTCTTTTTTCCTCTCCTCCCTCCTCGGCAGTATTAGCGCTTGACCCACCTTGGAATGCAAGCCGAGCTCGGGCTCCTGTCGCCCCTAGCCTCTTCTATCCTGCCTCTGTGCTGCCACCTCCTGCGTGTGGTTCGCTCGCACGTACCCTCCCGATGCCTACCGATCCACTGCTCGTCACTGCTCAGCGTGTCGAGTCACCGTTTCTTCTTTCCTCCCTTCGGTCTTTAAAAGAAACCTATTATGCGGCAAGCTCTCTAGCCTTCGGTCCGGCAAGGGGTTTTTTTTTTGGCTTAATTTCATGCGATTAGACGATAACAGCTAGTAATGCGTCCTGGAGAAAGTGAAAGGAAACGCGGACTTTAGGACAAGCCCAGGTACCGCGATCCGGACCTCAGGTCACGAGCGCAAGGAAGAGCTTCTGGCATGACAGGCTCTCATGATCACAGGCAACATCTTCACCTGTCCGTTGCGAAGAAGACGTCGATATTCATTCATGGCCAGAACGCGACCTCTCTTTCACCGGTCCTCTCCTCGAGACCAAGTCAGGACGACCACTTCGAGTCTGGTTTCTAATGCCTCGCTCCTTTGGTTATTTTTTTGAATAGAACCCTTAATTTCGACCCCACCGACGACTACAAAGTGTACCTGCTCTTCCAATTTTCGATCGCGCTTGGCAGCCGGAAGGTGGGATGTCTTGCATCTTTTCCATAACCGCCATTTGAGAAGGGGAGGAGAATCGTGACAATGAGCGCCAAGGGGGGAGACGCGGTCGATGAAGGGTCATCGCTCCGGCTTCGTCGCGCAGGGTCGACAGCAACGGAGGAGCAAGGCGCGCAGGTTGACCGGGGGGCTCCTCTTTGGCATGGTGCAACAAACGATATTGACGCGGACGCCGATGCCCAAGCCCAAGCCGAGGCTGGCGCGGCAGGCTCATCTGGCGAGTCCGAGTTTCCACGATTTGCCGGCGATCTGCCTTGGAGTGAGAGGTCATGGTGGTATGAGCTGCGGCCATTCAGGGGCATGTACTACGACATCAGGAGGCGCCTGCCGTTTGTGAAGACGGATTGGACCTCAGCGCTCGATCCAAGAAACTGGTGGACGATTGTACAGTACATTCCCAGGATGTATTTCATCAAGTGAGTTGAGGTGGGAAGGAGCAAGCAGGGTCTATGAACGCTGACACGCCAGAGCAAAGTCTCATGCCGGCCATCTCGTACATCATCGACATGAACCACCGCACACACGGCGCATATGGCCTCAACGAGGTCATCCTGGCTTCTGCGCTGGTCGCTATCGTTTTCCCCATCTTTTCCGTCCAGCCACTCACTTTCGTCGGCGTCACGGGTCTCATCAACCTGGTCAACTATACCCAGTACGACATCGTCGTCGGCTACTATGGCCTGAGCCAGATCGACTACCTCCGCGTCCAAGCCTGGTCGCTCATCTGGGCCGCCGCATTCCACTTTGTCGTCGCCATCTTCAATGTATGCGACTTCACACGCTTCATCACCGACATGACCAGCCAGACATTTGGCTTCTATGTCGGTATCGTCTACATCCAAAAGGGCATCGAGCTCCTCATTCTCGAATTTGAGCCTCTGCCGCTGGACAATGCCACAGGATGGCTCAGCGTCACCATCGCCATCCTCTTTACCGTCTCTGTCTACCTCGTGTCAGCCATCGGAAACACGACTTACCTGCCGTTTCGTATCCGCTACTTCATCTCGTCGTTTGCCTTTGCTGCTGGTTGCATTTTTTGGACCGGCTTCAGTCATTTTCCCGAGAACAGCTTGCGCAAGGTGCCGATTGAGCGGCTGCCCATCACAAAGTCGTTCTTCCCCACGATGGACCGACCTTGGTTCGTCGATTTCTGGAACATTGAGGTCAAGTGGGCTTTCGTGGGCGCCCCGCTCGGCTTTCTCATCATGGTCCTCTTCTATTTTGACCACAACGTCAGCTCCGTCATGGCCCAGGCGAGGCAATTTCCCCTGTCAAGGCCTGCTGGCTTCCACTGGGACTTTTTCCTCCTCGGTATCACGACGCTCGTCAGTGGCTTTCTGGGACTACCTGCACCCAACGGGCTTGTGCCGCAGTGCCCGTGGAGCACCGAGGCGCTGTCCGTCTATAAGCAAGTAAGGGGAGGAAACAAAGGCGGCGACGACGACGACGGAGACGGCGAGACGGGACACGCCCAGAAGAGCAAGAGCAGAGGCAAGGACAGAGGCCAGCCGCACATCATCGTCATCTCGAGGGTCGTCGAGAATCGGCCCGCTCACCTCATTGTCGGCCTGCTCACGCTGGGCACGATGACGAGGCCGCTCCTCGTCGTTCTGGGCACAATGCCGCGAGCCATCTTTGCAGGCATTTTTCTCCTCGTCGGCTGGTCGAGCATCGAAGGCAACATCATCACACAGCGCACCCTCGCCGTCTTTCGGGATCGAGCCATGGCTCCACGCGATGACCCTCTCTTGCAGTTGTCCCGGGGCAAGATCGCCCTCTTTGTCGGGATCCAGTGGATCTTTTTCGCCCTGACGATTGCCATCAGTCAGACGATTGCTGGAATTGGGTTTCCCATCATCATTACGCTTCTCATTCCCTTTCGGTACTTTGTCGTGCCCAAGCTCTTTTCGCCATCGGAGCTCCGCATCCTCGACGCGCCCACGGCCGATGCTGACGTCGTTCTTGCTTCGATTGGCCAGGAGACGGAGCATGTCACCGGCCAGGGCCAGACGGTCGCCAGGGACACGGGCATCGCAGGCACGCTTTGGGAGAGCGAGAGCACGCTCAGTGTCGACAGCGGCAATGACGATGATCAAGCTCAGGCTGGTATCCATGGTGCTTCAAAGACAAGGGTTGCAACAAACGCCGACACAGACGTTGCTGCTCCTGCTGCCACTGCCACCACGCCATCGACCAACGAAAAGGAGACGCCTAACTCCTTGTCCGAGAAAAAGTAACATTGCATCATCATTCCTCTTGCACATTGTCCGCTACATACCATCTCAATACCGAGCAACATACCTGATCCCGGCCGTAGGGGCTTGCTAACTGGTGCCGAGCATTTAAAGCGAATGACAGACTCTATGACGATCGTATCGGATGCCACTCGAAAGAGCGCTAAGCTTGACACGGACTTGCTCCTCGAAAACCTCCACCCGGTACAGTTCCTTAGTTCCGAATCACTTCTCAGCATTGGCCCGAGCAGTACTAAGTGCAATGTCGGCCGCGCGACGCAAGGCAATCAGCGATGGCCTGGCAGCCTTTGCCGCGCAGGCGTCAAGCCCCAAGCCGCTCCAGATACTCTATTCGACAAAGCCCAATTGGCCGGGCAAAGACGTCAGCGGCGGCGGCGGCAGCGGAGCGGCGACGAAGCCGGCCGGTCTTGACATTGCTGTGCTCGACTCGTCGTTCAATCCGCCGACAAAGGCCCACGCGGCTCTGGCGCTGTCCAGTCCCGTGCGAGCTGCTGCTATCGACAAGGGCAGCAGCAGCAGCAGTGCCGCGAGAAAGGGGGCCTACGACGCGCACCTGCTCCTCTTCTCTGTCCGCAATGCCGACAAGGGCACGGGCAAGGCGGGCGACGCATCGACGGTGCAGCGTCTCGAGATGATGCACCTCCTCGCACACGATGTCGAAGCGCGGCTGCGCGACGAGGACCGCGAAGCGAGCGTGGCCGTGGCCCTCGTCGAGGAGCCGCTGATGATTGCGAAGAGCACCCTGATCCACCAGTACCTCGGCCCTGCCGCGTCGGCCCAGACGAGCCTGCACTGGGTCGTCGGCATGGACACGCTCGAGCGCTTCTTCCAGGTAAAATACTATCCCTCGCCGCGCTTCTTTGAAGACGCCTGCGGGCAGTTCTTCGAGAAGGAACGCACGAGGTTTGTATGTGCGCGCAGGGGGCCCGAATCGCTGCCCAACAGCGACAAGGCCCGCGCAGGCGGTAGCAGCAGCGACGACGAGGACAAGTTTCTCAGGAGCGATCCCGTCGCTCGGTGGCTCGACTGCGGATCCGTCGCCATCATCGATCTTCCAGCCGAGGCACAGGGCATCAGCAGCACGGCGGTCCGCTCGCTCGCTTCTGCGTTGGAGGAGGGCAAGCAGGCCGGCACGGCGACTGAAGAGGAGCTAAAGCGTCTGACGACGCCCAGCATCGCAAAGTACCTCATCGACGAGTCAGTGTATCAGCCGCCAAAAAAGCAAGAAGATTCATCGACATCCTAACATATACTCTTGGGCTAAATGCTATAATCATTGCACACCAGTCACACGAGCAAGAGCAGACGAGATCCCGCCAGTCGCTGAAGGCGGCCTATTTTTTATATATACAGAGCAGCTCTGAGTTTCGAATCCTGGGCCACCTCACGCATCGGACCTCGTCGACTCGAGCCTGTCCGAGTACTTGAAGTCGTTCTCCGCCCGGATCTTGTCCATGATTGTCATGGTGATCGTCGAGTCCTGGAGCGTGCACCTCTCTGCCTCAATCTTGCCATCTCGCAGCGCCCTGGCACATGCATCTGCCTCCCAGAACATACTGTCAAGGATCAATCGTGTGAGAAAAGGACTAGGCTGGTAAAAAAAAGGGGAGAGAGAGAGAGAAAGAGAGTTGAGGAAGATACGCACCCGTGGCCTGGGATCTTGAACTCTCTGCGGTCGGGCGCGTGATACTCCTCCTGTGCCAGGGGCGCACTCTGCTTCGACTTGTCTTTGAGGTGGATGCTGAAAGAAGTAGGTCGGAAAGGCGCCCATGGGACGGTGATTGTGCCCTTTTCGCCCTGGATCAGCACCACTCGGTCCGTGTGGCTCTCCACCTCGAGCTTTGGGGCAACAAGAAGAAGAGAGGGAGAGGACAGTGTGAGCAACTGCGAAGGGCCAAAAAAAACGGAGAATAGCGAAGGAAGTTTGCGCCAACACTCACGCTGGTCGTCATGACACCCATCGCCCGCGTCTTCTCAAAGGCAAAGGCCGCCGTGGTGTGCGCGTCGACACCGGTGAGGGGCGTCTTGAGCATCTGCGACGTGAAGGTGGGCACCGTGCCCTGGTTGTCGGGGTCCTCGAACAGGAGAACCATGATCCACGTCAGCGGGTAGATGCCCAAGTCGAGCAAGGCGCCGCCGCCCAGATCTGGATTGAAGAGGCGGTGCTTTGGGTCCTCGTCAAAGTGCATCGCAAAGTCGGCGTGCACCCGGTGGATCTTGCCCAGGATCCGATCCTGGTGGAGCAGCTTCTTGAGCGCAATGACGAGGGGGAAGAAGCGGATCCAGACGGCCTCCATCAGAAAGACGTTTTTCTCGCGCGCCACCTTGGCGAGGTGCTTGGTTTGGGCCGCGTTGATCGTGAATGGCTTCTCGCAGCAGACGGCCTTGCCGTGCTCGAGGGCCAGGAGCGTGTTGGCATAGTGCTCGCTGTGCGGCGAGGCAACGTAGATGATGTCGACATTGGCATCCTTGACCAGCTCTTCGTACGAGCCATAGGCCTTTGTGTCGGCCTTGCAGCCGAGCTTCTTGATAAATGCCGAGGCACGGTCGGCGTTCGTCGACGAGGCAACGGCCACGACGTCGTGTCGGACGTCATTGACATCGCGCCCCGCTGGGTCAAGCAGCAGATCGCCCACGAACTTTTCGGCGATGCCGCCCGTGGCCATGATGCCCCACTTTGCCGTATAGGGTGCTGCCATGATGACTTCTGCTTTCGTGTCGTGGAGGGGAAGGATTGGAGTGGGGGGCGCAAGGTCCGAGAAGAAGTTGGGCTTAGCACTTTTATCCCCACCTTCTGCTCGCTCCACAAAATGACGCGTGTGTTCCTCCGCTCAGGAAACGCCGAAGGCTTTCGGAGCTCGGTGAAGGGGACTCGCTTCAGCTACAGACGCACGTCGTCGACTGAAATTGTGAAAAACATCCCAGGAGGACCATTGTTTGCGTACCCAATGCATCGGAGTTGAAGTTTCTCGATCATGGCTGTTGGGATAAGAGACCGCTGTGGTGCATTCATGTCATTGGGTCGTGAAGTCTCTCTACATTTCTATCGGTGTTCGCTACAATCTACATATAATCTCGGGTGCCATTCATGTCTTCGTCGGAAAGATGTGCCGAGGCTTAACCTACTTTTGCTCGTTGTGTGACGATGAAACGATGCCTTGCTGGACGTCGACCATAGTCTCATCCGACGCACTCCTCTCAACATCTCGGAACGTTCCGCTGTTCACCGTGCTCGTCACACCGGATTTCCGATTGCGGGTCTGGTTCCTTGAGAGCCTCGGCATGGGCTTGTCCTCGTCCCTGCCCGTCCGCATGATGCGGCCACGAACGACTGCTTCGATCATAAAGGCCAACACCGTAAAGTAGGCGCAGACGAGATAGATAGCCACGCCGGTCGCGAACCAGCCCACGGCACGAGAATTGTCGAGTGCCTGGCCGATGTAGATTGTGCAGATGCAGAAGCCTGAGATGGGGAAGATGGAGGCCCACCAAGACATGCTGAAGCAGTGCACCTCTTCGCGTGGTCGTTCGCGCAGATTGCGACGGCCCTGGACCGTCAAAAATGATTTTCCGACGGCAGAAAGGATGGAAAAGGTGGCAAGCAGCCACCAGAAGGCTGCCAATTGCCAGAGGAGGAGGGCAGCGAGGAGACCGAGAACGAGGAGAAGCTTTGCCAAGTCGTCCGAAGAGGGAAACATGGGCGATAGCGCGCCTTCGGGGAGAAAGTTGGACGCATTACGGGCCATGCCGAGGAGTGCCAAACCGCTGTAAGATCGTCAAATCAGCTGCTGCTGCTGCTAGAATACTTGGGCACAAACGACAAAATACACCTACGTGAATCCACATGGTCCTGCAGCAATATAGAGCCCGGTCCGATGGCTCGGCTCAGGTAGGCCGAACTGCATGAGCCGTCGAAGGAGCATCGCATAGACGAAGCAACTGACGAGAAAGCCTAATCCTTGGAAGGTCAAGCCAGCAATTGCAATGTTGAGGCTCTCGGACTGCTTGAGCTGAGAAGACTTTGTAATGCTGTTTGCAATCGTGCCGACCAGCATTGATGGGAAGATGGGCAAGATGAAGCCCGGCGACAGATTCTGCGTCGTGTGGTTTGACTTTTGGCTTTCGACTGTCGAGAGCGTGAATGTAGACGGTGCATGAGCTAGGAGAAGGAAGATTGTCCATTGCGCAAAGGAGCTCACTGGTGAAGAGTGCAAAGTACTGCAATGGACCTTGAATGCAAGCAACAGCGGTAAAAATCCAAAAGCACACACGCATTGCCTGAATGCACCATGGAGCTGTATGTGGCTCAGCGTAGAGCCCCATGCCCATTACGATTGTCGCAAACGCAAGCTGAGATGTTGGCATGAAGAGACACTCAGTCGGATGAGTGACTGTATATCGAAACGAGGCGCCAGCTAGGGTATACCGCAGAATCATGGCGATGACGACAAGGAAGAAGAGGACAACATCCGCGATATAGAAGATTAGACCGATAGTCTTCAGGCCATCGAATTGGAAAGGCAATTGCCCTAGGACGAGCGCGATTCCGCCCGTTGACATGGGCTGAGACAGCAGGAACTGTCAGCTGCTGTAACGGTCTTTCCAGTGTGCGTTTCCTTGACTCACCACGGTGAACCATGCCCAAGTGAAGTGTCTGAGGCGATTCGTCAAAAAGGACATCTCGTTGTTCTTGGAGGAGCTCAGAGAGAAAGAGGAGAACAGCTTTCGTCCGAAGGCCTGTTGCATTTTGGCATTTCCAGGCATCTCATCATCTTAACTAACCTCTCTCGCTACGTGTTCTTTTCTTAATCGGGATAGATGTCTGTGAATGGCAGCAGGCGATTTTCGATTCATTTGTGGCACCGTTATGGGACTGTCGACTTGCCAAGGGAAAAGCGAGAGGGAGAGAGACTTTCAACGCTTATCTTTCAATGGCGCCCCAAAGCTTTTACACCTTTACACGGGAAGGTGACATACGACAACTGTTCTTGGCTTCCATGAGAAGAAGCCTGTCTTCCTCTTCTCTGAAGATCGAAACATGAGTACCCGGCAGAACCGTCTTCGACTGCCGTCATCGCAGCGAGGCCAGATAAACTAGCAGCATAATCTTGGCACGAGATAAGGGTGCTCCTCGAACCCGCGAAAATGTCCCCGTCGTATACTTTGATCTCAAAATATCTATGTCGCTGGGCTCGATGCCAACGCCAAGAAAGTCTCCGAGCCACCAAAAAATAAGAAGTAAATGCGTAGAGGCTAATTTACCGAGGACAGATTGAGAACGGGCTTGAGAGAGCCGCGAGATAAGAAAATCATTATGACGACACCTCTCCTCAATTTATCGAGGTATCGAGTGAACGTCAGGAGGAAATGTCTCCTCCGTCTTCGCGCGTCGAGTACCAAGAACTTGTGGCAGGAGAAGAAGAGTGAGACATTTCCCTTTCCTACGCAATTCTTCATCAGTGTTGTTCACACCGTCTTATGGTCCATGACGCTGTCCTCTCCGTGCTTTTCGTCGCCTTACAAAACTGGTAGACAACCGCCCCTCTCTGGTCGAAGCACTTGATGAACGTCCCCGTTCTTAGACCAATCTGACCTTTCGCCGCTTTGTGAATCAAAGTAAGCAACATGGCATCGAGAATGCAGAAAAAGGAGACCAACGAAGCACATGGCCTCGCTTTTCGCTGTCATACACTGTCAGCAAGCGTCATGTCTACTCCAACGAGCACACAAATCATCGGACACCCCCTTCCTTGCCCCACTCATCCTTATATGACGATCGCGTCGCGAGGAGCCTGCTGACCAGGGATTCAGGGAGAATGCATTCGGCAACGGGTATCTTCATGTGGCGCTTGTTGATCGCAAAGCGGCGCTGCAGCGTGGAGTCATGCGGCGAAGGATCAAAGTGTAGCTTCGGGACGTTCGAAACAAGCGGCATGCTCCAACCACAACAAGAAACAAGCCGCCTGCATCCGCACTCGAGACAAGTGCAAGGATCACAGGATTTCTTGATCGCTCCAGGACTGCAATTGTATGCTCGCCTGTCTGTAGTCACAACCATGGCTAGCAAAGTTCTGCACGTTTCAGTCCACGATGTCAGATACGCTTGTTGGGCGCGAAAGTCACCCTCGATGACGGAAAGAAGAGTTTGTGGCAAAAAGGAAGCCCAAGGAGCTCAATGCAAAGGTGCTCGCATCCCAAATTGGTGCCTGCATCCGTGGAGGGGCGAGGTCTTCCACCAATGTTGGGTGTACGATGGAAGAACGGCACAAGGTTTTGGCTAGTACCATCAGCGGCATGTCACACGTACCACTACTTCTACAACGACACTAATAGTACACTACTACAACTATTGATTGTGTCGACTCTCTCAATCCTTATCCGTACCCCTTGATATTAATTATACTCCTTTGCTTTATCATACGTACTCTCTCCCGCTTACCATCTAGCTCGCCAAGGCAGCGTTCGATGTACGGTACTAGTAGCCAAGGATGCACGTACCACTCTAGTGTACCACAATTGAGGTGCTGGTGCTCAGAATCTGTGGTGGCTTAGGTGTTTTGCCTGCTATCCGCCAGCTCGGCAGAGACTACTATCCAATCCAAATATATTCATCTCTGGAGAGATCCGCATCCGTCTTACATCATCTTCCTCGCTCGGGTCACGGCGCGAGCTTAAGCTAGCGTGGCTTCAGACTCCGCTCCCACTCCCATTTCGTGCACTTTTCCTGATGTAAGAAGAGCAGGCCAAAAAAAATAGTATTGCTGCTTATTTCACGTTTCGAAAACTCTAAGGACGTGGAGCCAGGTTCGGCCCTAGCTGATCAGTTCTCATATTAAATTAAATTCATTGACATTCGCAGACCCTGAAATTGATTACAAGAACGTGCTTCTCGCATAAAAGTCTTCGACTACATTCGTTCGCACGAGCAAAGAAAACGCCACCGGCCCAGCAGCAAGTGTGGTCCACAACCTCGCTCCGGCACCACTTTCACTACTAACCATAACAACCACTACACCGCTAGCACTGATACTTGGCGTAGATCCCACAGGAACGATTCTTCCGTCGCGGAACCAGTAGCTGCCTTACCGCTTATCGTGTCCCAAGTACCGATTCGTACGCCAGCGATACGCCACCTCACGCTTCTCCGTGCCACAGCAAATCCTGCAGCAACTCTAACGTAACGTCTACAATCAGTAGTCACTATCGTGAACGTTGTTGCCACAGACACAAGTCATCTCTGGCGTCATATTATGCGACAAGAGCAACCTGTTGTACAGACCACCGAAGCGACAAACACGAGCGACGGCTTCGATAAGTCGCAAATTGCAACAACACAGCAGATGCTCGATGGTGTCAGTGGGCTAAAGACCATGCCTCCAACGCTGGCGACATGCAACCAACTTGAGCCAATTCCCTTCTCTTCCACCGAGAATATCAAGTCGTTCGACTCACCTACGTCGAGCTTCTCTCCGGCTGCGGCGCGAATGGCGTCTTCGTCTTCATCTTCTTCTTCAGAGGTGGGCCACAATCACAATGGGAAAAATTCGACGACCTTTGGCTGGGACGTTACGACAATGGACAGTGCAGACGGTGCACTTATGCGAAATACCTGGATCGAAAGCGCTATCGCTTCCTTCAACAACGGGAACCATTATCTGGCCACCGAGGACACGTCAGGCAATGCCTGGCCGAAGGAACAGCGTGCATTCAATGGTGATGCAACGGCGTTGAATGCTGGCCGTCACTCAAAGCAGCATGCGCAATTTTGGTCGGCTTCGCCAGGATCTGGTGCTGATGAGGATCCAGAACCTTTGAACCAGCAAATGGACCGTGAGTCGCGCTCTGACATTACACGATCGCACTCAGCCTCACACTGGCATCTTCTTTTTGCAGCTTCCATGCCTACAGAGACAACATCGTCCGTGAGAGAAAGGGAGCTGCAACGTAGCAACACAGACAATGTCACTGGTGGAGGTAGCTCGGCACACATGCCGTCTGCTCCCTCGTCCAAAGAACCCATCTGGCAACGACGACTCAATTCGCGAAGGCAAGAGATCTTTCATACCCTCTCCGACTCCCAGCTCCCACCCTCGACCGACACACACCTGACGAATGCCGAACAGGAGTCAGCGAAAACGAATGGCAACCTTGGAGAAAACACAAATGGCTACTTGGGGCAGTCCTCATACGGCGAGTCCATCAACGAAGAGACGCCTGATGCAAACGCGATGAGAGCATTCGCAGACATCAGCGATGCGCAACAAGGCAGCCTCGCTACCGTAGGAGGTCTTAACGGCTACCAGTCGTCGTTCTATGGGTCAGACAAGCCCATGCTTGATGCTCTGATGGCCAATGGTATCTTTACCGGTTTGCCCTCCACGACCGTCTCCGGTCATGCTGCGGGCGGGTCTTCTCAGGCCCACTACGACCAAAGCGTTGGTGCGAGCTCTACCTTTGATCCATCACTAATGACCAAGCCGCAACGAAGCGAGTCAATGGGCTCGGACGCGTCATCATCGTCTATTGGCTCATTCATGGGCGATCTTGCCTCTTCTTTTTACGGTCCGATTCACACAAAACCCGAAGATGCCAAGGGCCGCGGCAGTCTTCATTATCCAACCTCGCCCCGTAAAGTCACTAGCAGCCTTAACGATGAACTAGTTCACGGCACCATCAATGCCAACAAGGGCCATCGGCGACAAAAGCCATCGATGGCGTCTGACACCACCGTCAAGTTGCGAGGACGAGGATACTCCATCGGGGAAGAGCCGGAGTCACCGACCCTCTCAGGATCCAGCTTTGGAGGTGGCAGCGGTGGTGCCAAGGGCGTCATCAGCAAATTGGTTGTGTCCAAAGGCTCCAAGTCTCAGGGCGATTCCGACGCTGACGAAGACCAAGAGGTTCGTCACGTGTGCCCCGTGGCAGGATGCAACAAACATTTTTCAACAAGTGGACATGCCCGACGACACAGCCGCATTCACGCTGCTCTGCGACCTTTCGAATGCCCCCATGATGGTTGTGGTGCAACCTTCACCCGACGCGACAACTGCACGCAGCACCAGCGCGCCCGTCACAATTGCCAGCTCGTCGCGCACCGCATTCCTGCCGAACGAATCGACCCGGAAAGCAGACCTTAAGCGGCCTTGACCTTTTGTGTTCACAAATTTTCCAAGAGCTCAACACACGGATGCTCTGCACGTCTCACACCCAAATCTCTCCATCCATCAAGTTTTCAACGACAACAGATATTTTCGCATACACGAACGTCTTTATTCTCTTCGCTCACACATTCACACGGACACGAAGGTCACTCTAGGCATACACTTTCTCTGGTCACGATCGTCTTTCTCACTCGCGACTCTCGGTTTCTCGACCTGCAAAATCACAGCAGCTGCAAACATGATCAAGGCTCATTGTCACCCATTCACTTCTTGCTTCATCTACCCACGGATCTTGTACATTTAAGCTTCTCGCGTCCACGGTCCATCACCTTTCCGAGGAGCTCCAGACTAGCACAGGCATTAATTTCTGTATCTATACACGGCGATCAGCATCTTGCCTTTCCATCTCTTGACCCAAATTGAAAATATGAAGCTTTTCTGTGGGAATTTTTGCAGACGTACTTTGAAAAAGATAGACATTGACAAGATGGTGGACTCCGGCTTGCTCACCCGCACTGGTTCAATGATGGAAGGCATTCCAGGAATTGCGAGAGTCTATAGTGATTGGGCGAATTTAAATCCTAACGATACAGATAACACACGATGTCGGGGCAAATCACAACGAGTTTTCAAAAGGTGGGCGGGACGAAGCCCTCGTCCTCGTCGACGCCCTTTGTCTTTTCCATCATCTTCTTCACGCGGCCATTGGGCTCCATGTCGCTGGCGCCCGGGCTGAGCAAGGTCCCTCGTTTGCTGCTGCTGCCATTCGAGCTGTTTCCTACGCTTTCTGGCCGGGAGGTAGTAGCTGCGGCGTCGTCGCCTGCCGGTGCCGAAAAGAGGGTGATGACGTTGTTGTCGAGATTGGCAAAGGGCGGCGATGAAATCCGGCGGCCGTCGTTGGGAGCCGCCATCGGTGGAGGGGGGAGTCCCTCGGAGGAAGGGCTGACGACAGAAGAAGACTTTCCTGCCTTTCCAAACCAGCCGCCAAGCCCCTTGACACCGGCAGTGGAGGCGGCAGACGAGGAGGCGCTCGTTGTCTTCTCCAGTTCACCACCGCCTGCAAGGTTTGGACCGGTCTCCGATGCGGGCGTTGTTGCCGAGCGTGACCATAGTGAGCCTAGGCTGAGCCCGACTGCGCCAGTGCTCGCCTCATTGTTTGACCCTTGACTTTCACGTCGTTCCACTGGCGGTGCAGGTGGCGACGTCACACTCTGCTTACGCGTCGTAAAACCTGAGAAAGTGCTCCCAATATTCTTCCACGTCGACGCTGTCGGCGTCATCGTAGATACAAACGTGTTCTGCTTGTTCTGTGGCGTCAACGGAGTTCCGTCCGAGGACTGCTCGCCCCGCGCGTCGTCATCATCCTTGTCTGTCGGCAGCGGAGGGAGCTTGACGCCCCGCAGAGCCATTGCATCGTTGACGCCCTCGCCACCTGCCGTGCTCGATCCGCCAGGGTCGTTACTTGCCTCATCGCGGACAAATTCACGGAGGGCCCTCAAACAGTTTTCGCTGGCCGCTCTTGCTTCTTTGGCCTCGTCGAGCTCCATGCGCAGCTTGCTCAGATCTCCCCTAAGCTCGGCCAGCTGTCGATCTCGGTCCTTGAGCCGCTCCGTCTGCTCCTGAAGATTTCTTTGTGCGAACGAGATCTGCTGCTGAGCTTGCATAGTGGCAAATGTCGGCGGCGATATGACGTTGGCCTTTGCCGTGAAAGGATCCTCGTCCCCTTCGTTTGCTCCGCGGTGCTTCACCTCGACTTCTTCGCCCTCGCCATCTTCGATAATAGGTGAATGGACACTCGAGGGCGCCGGACTTGCACTGTTGCGATTGGCGAACCCAGGAAGCCCGAGCGAAGAGCCACCTGCTTCTGCGGCTCCGCCGTCGTTGCTGAGCGCACTTGCGCTGATGCTGCTCGAATTGCTCGTCCGCCGGACTGCACGAGTACCCGCAGAAAGGAGCGAGCCTGCCCCACTATTTGTCGGCTCTTCCGTCGACGGGAGCTCCGATGTCTCCGATGCGGGCGAAAACAGGCCGCTAATGAACGAGCTACGCTTGCTGCTGTCGCCTCCAGAGGCTTTGATCGAGGATCCATTACCGGCGGGACCGGACAGCCGCAGTTCTCTTAAACCGCCTGGCGTCGTGGTGGGAGGGCTCATGAGACCGAGCCCTGACCCATCCGCCTCGCTCATCGCAGTCCCTCGTCCGCCGCTGGCTGTCCGTCGGTGCACGATTCTACTCCCTGCACTGGGTCCAAAGGCAAGCGATGCCCTTTTTGACTTTTTGCTCTCATCGGCTTGCAATGTCGCATCGTCTTCAGGCGACGATGAGGTGCCATTGAAGACCTCTCGCGGATTCCAGGATGAGAAAGCCGAGGGACCCATGCTCCTCCGATTGCCGCTAGCGCCGCCGATGGAGACGTTGGCAGATGGACCATGGGAGCTCCCGGTGGCGCTGCTACCCGAAGCGCCTCCGCTGCCTGCACCTTGCAATCTCATGATAGCTCTCCGGCCCTCTTCAACGCGCGACCTGAGATCCCTGACCGTCCCCGACAACTCCTCCTTCTCTGTTCTCGACTTTGCCAGCTCATCTTGCAGTTTGGTCACACGTTGTCGAAGTCTGACGAGCTCCTCCTCTCGATCATCGTCCTCCTCGGATTGTATGCGTGCCAAAAGCGACTGGTGGGCGGCCTGGAGAGAGATGTAGTTTGCCCGAAGCGATGATCCCGAGGCGGCCGAGCTCGACCGCGAATGGCTTGAGCTTTCGTGTTCCTCTTCCATCTTTGCTCTCAGGTCCTTGGTGGTCGGCGCGTGCCCTTTGGAGTGGCTTAGGAAAGACCCGAGACAAGGCCGGGGACTGTTTGATGTGGTGAAGCAGGAGTCCGATGCAACGACGAGCCAGGAGACAGGACGCGAACGCCAACATGCGATAGCCCTCAATTACAACTCGGGCAGGGCCCCCTCGTGACAGGAACTTGAAAGCGCGCGCGCCACGCGTCAAGAAAGTTGATGTGAGACCAACTTGCATGCACGAACGGGACTAGCACTGCGCCCCATAGGCGGGATGGGGTGGGTCTCTATCTCGCGTGCTGTGCCGTACGTACCAAAGGTCCAACTCAAAGGCAGGGTGCTACGTAGCTTGCCAGCCATTACGTACTGACAGCGACCCGAAACACCACAAGAACAGCCAGGCTACGGCCTAAATGTTAAGCCGAGATCGATTTTTTTGATCCGCATGTAGCTCTTGGCATCCTTCTCACGCTGAGGGCAAACAGCCTGCCGTCGCCCTTTAAAAGTCACAAAAAAAGAGGAGATGGACTCATGAATCCCAGGTGGAAGCGCCTTTCGTGAACCTCATTTATCTCCTCTCCGGCGAGCTAACGTACGCTAGACACTGCGTCCTAGGAAAAGATCTGAGATCTATCTGATTTTGGCCTTTAACAAACAAACACATCAACGTGTACCTCTCTCCGTGACGCTTCCTCGCCAAGATGGACATTCTCGGCCTATTCCTTACCCAGCTGCTGCCCGCCGCAAGAAAGCGGCAGATATGTCGAGCGCAGGGATTTTGCCTTGTACCCCGCGCCGGGGAGGACAACGACACTAGCTATCGCAATTTTGTACTGTACTTCGTGGGAACCTCGCTTCCTATGTGGGGCACCAGCCTGTGCATAACGAATGGGTCCTTAATACGCGCGCACAAGGAGCACAGAAAGAGTCTGAGCTAAAGGCATAGCGAGGGAAAAAAAAATCGAAGAGAAAATGGCCGGCTAAACGGCTGATGACGAAGTTGGGCTACGCTGAAAGATCTCGCACACATGCCAGTCACTGATGTGGGCATTGTCTTTGCAAGGTCATGTCCGGCCGCTGGGAAATGAGGGGGAAAACAGCTCCAATTACGTCCATTCGCTGGCCTCTATAGAAGATGAAGAAGGAGAAGCGGATGTGTTCTGAGAGTGAGACATATGAGGTTTCGACTGCAAAAGCCCCCGATTGCGTGTGAAGGCAACGCGTGCTGGCGGAAAGCACGCTTTTGTCCCGTACAAGGTCAAAGCGTCTCTCTACAGCTGAGTCAAACACGAGCGCGGTCCAACCAACACCACCATTCTCGCTTTCCATCTCTGTCCCCCATTTTCGCTCTCCCTCTTTTCTTCTTCCTCTTCTTCTTTTTGTCGTGTCCTGTCCTTGCGTACGGTTGTCCGCTTCAGTGCTCTACGCACACCGCAAAACGCAGCGCATCATTACGCAACTGGGAGAGATCAGAGATCCAAAAAGGAGCCCAGAGAACCAAAAAAGGAAATCGGGCCGGCATCAGCTCGGTCTCTTGCGAAAGTGTAAAAAAAGGAAAAAAGAAAGGAAATCAGGGGTCCGTCCCTCTGCGCCAACCGTACTACTACAAGTACTACTACAACTACTACTACTGCAGCACTTGGCCTCCTGCCATTCCTGCACCGCCACGGCTTCGACATAATCGAGAGCTCGTTTGTACCTGGCGAGGAGGACCCCCACATTTCGACAGAGAGGATCCCTGTTGTGCGAAGAAGGAGGGAGGAAGGGTGCACTTGGGTCTCCGACTTCGCACACGCTACGGCTGCTGCTGCTGCCGTCCACTGCCTCGACGCGCGCTGCACGCCCGCGGACGACAGACGTCAACAACACGCGCGCGCACGCGCACGCTCAAGCACATCAGCAGCCAGACCTGGCAGCGCGGACAGCACTCCAGCACCGCCGAACGGTGCGATTGTTCCTGTGAGTGTCGTCGTAGTGATCCCTGCCGTCCCGACGCAAGTCCGAGCAAGGGACTTGGCGCCGCGAGCTTTACTGACGTGGACCCTGCTTATCTCAGGCAGGACCGACAAATCTTTCTGTCGGCGACAAGAAAGCATACCCCGCGTACGCTGGCCTCACAGAGCAACCAAGGGCCTTCGATTGCGGACAACGCTTTCCTTCTGCTCTCCATCGCAGACTCGGTCTCTGAAAGTTGACCAAGAAGCAGAAGCGACCTTGCGATGGTGAGTCTCTCCGGAGCGCACGCGTATCTCTCTTTTCTTTTGCTGTGATGCTTGCTCCTCGCACGCATCCTCCGTGCTGCTGTCGAAATCGCGCTCGCGAAGTGTCCCTCCTACCCTTCCCTGCAAGGGTTGCGGATCGGGCGCATTCACGAAGTTGCTGCCCAGGAAGGGGCCCGTGGACCGACGCGCTTTGATCGCCTTGCACGTTGAACTTGGACGTAAGCCGGGTGACCCCCCCCCCCCTGAAATCGTTTGCTCTTGGGGCTTTCCCTACACCTGCTTTCTCTCGGCCTTTCCCCTCTTTCTTCCTCTTTCTCAATCATCATCCCTCCATGTTGAATGCGAGGCTAACTCTCGCGAACTCCAACCAGGCTGCGCAGATTCCTCCGCAGGGCTCGGACCCCGAAGACTACTATGTCAAGCAGAACCGCATCGGCAAGGGCTCCTTTGGGTGAGTACCCCGGCATGCTACATCGCCTGCTCAGGGCTCCCGACGCTCGCTGCTGATGCTGACGATGGGATCGATGTTGACAGGGAGGTGTACAAGGGCTTCTCCAAGATCACACGGCAGCCGGTGGCCATCAAAATCATCGACCTCGAAAACGCAGAGGATGAGATCGACGACATCCAACAGGAGATTGCCATTCTCAGCCAGCTCGACAGTGACTTTGTCACAAAGTGAGTGGTTGGAGAAGATGTCGAAAGCTTTGCAGGCTGGATCTGAACACTCCCACTACAGATACCATGGCAGCTGGCTCAAAGGCACCAACCTCTGGATCGTCATGGAGTACTGTTCGGGGGGCAGTTGTTCGGATCTGGTGAGCGCTGCTTGTTGGCTCTGTGTCATTTTCGCAACCTGATGTCCCTGTGCCATTATTTTCAGATGAAACCTGGGAAGTTCCGCGAAGATTACATTGCCATCGTCTTGCGGGAACTTCTCAAGGGACTCGACTATCTCCATGGTGAAGGGAAGCTCCATCGCGACATCAAAGGTAAGCTGTGCTGTCTCCTATGAAAGCGCATACAAGTCGCTCACTACGATGGCTCTTCCTTTTCTAACAGCCGCCAATGTCTTGCTGTCGTCCTCGGGCGACGTCAAGCTTGCTGACTTTGGTGTCAGTGGGCAACTGACAGCGACCATGACAAAGAAAAACACGTTTGTGGGCACACCTTACTGGATGAGCCCCGAGGTCATCAAGCAAAGCGGCTATGATTTCAAGGCCGATATCTGGAGCTTGGGTATCACAGCCATAGAATTGGCGATGGGCGAACCGCCGTACGCGGATCTTCACCCGATGAAGGTGCTCTTCCTCATCCCAAAGAATCCACCGCCCCAGCTCGACTCGGGCTTCTCAAAAACGTTCCGCGAGTTTGTCAGCTACTGCCTCCAGCGTGATCCCGCCGCGCGACCCACGGCCAAGGAGCTTCTCAAGCATCGCTTTATTCGCAACGCAAAGAAGACGACGTACCTTACCGAACTCATCGAGCGCCTCGAGAGATGGAGGGCAGAGGGCGGCGACGGCGGCCGGGACGATGACAGCGACCGACGGGGCCAAGAACCTGCTGCGGAGGAGGACGATTGGGATTTTGGCACAGTCCGTCACCCAACAATGCGAGGAGGCGGAGCACCCGTGCATGGTCTTCAAGCCACGCGTCAGGCGCCTCCGCAACCCACCATCCCCCCGGTCTACCACGATGCGCAACAGGAGCAGGGGAGCATCGTTGCAGCGCAGGGTGCTTCAACGCCGACCAAGCGAGCGCCCGCAACCAATGCGCATGAGGACACCACGCCTAACGGAAAGCAAGGATTCCACGCTGCCAAGGAGCTACCCAGCACACCAGCATCTGTGGTGGCGCGGCAGCAAAGATACGGAGGCCCTAATGTGGCCGCGGCAGGGCCAGCAGCATTTGAAGCCAACAGGTACGGCTCGGTACGATCAATGTCCTCGGGAGGATCGGGTTCGGCAAGCGGGACTGTGCGGCTAGGCGCAGCAGCTGGCCAGCGAGGTGCTCTCCCCATGCAGGGCCAGCATTCTGCGTCCTCGTCCAGCGGCGAGTCCAGCGTGGCGACGCCTTCATACGTCCAGGGGCAGGGCAGTGGATACGGAGAGCTGCGAACGCACATCCAGACATCGAGCGAGTTGGACCAAGACAAAGAGCTCAACGGCGTTGTTGATGCTGCTCTTGCGAAATCGCCGGGGGGAGGCATGCTGGAGAATGGCGTTCTGGCCAGCTACGAACGGGCTGCCAATCCCGAAAGGAGACTACCGTCGGATGACGATGACGCTCTTCTGGGTGAGGACGACAGGTTGCGGCTGGAGCAGATGAATCTGCATGGGCGGGACGGAAGCGAAAGCATCCCAACGCCCGCGAGGGACGCTGCTCAGAATCAAGCGGCAGCCGCAGCTGTCCGAGGAGATTCACTCTTTGCCCTCGACGCCGTTCTGCTGCCGGTCCTTGACCAAGTGAGTCTCCAACAGGTATCTGGCTCCATCTCCCAGTTAGGCTGACCTTCTGCCCACACAAAGCTCTCGCTTGCCGTGTCACAGCGACCTGACGCGCAACAGTCGATCGAAGCCATTCGACAAGCGTTTGAGCACGCGGAAGCAATCACGCCCGGCCTGATGAATGCTTTTGCAGTCGAAGTCTATCACGGTATGATAGATGCTCAGTCAGGCGGACAAGAACCTCTCTACGAGGTCGACGAGGAAGAGGAGGAAGACGAGGGAAGACGTTACTGAGACGGCGCTTCCCCCCTGTATCGATTATGTGCTAAAGCACACTGCAAAGCACGCTCCATCTGAATGTTAGGACCGTAATCCCGAACAACGCCGCGTTTCCCCCATCATCGAGCCCCGATCATCACCACCTTGAACAAATAACATCCTGGCGTCGGAATGGCTTCTTCCCTGGGTCACACAGAGCAATTGTCGTTCTGTCGGAGCCACAGAGGAAGAGGACTCATTCGACGACATTCATCAGCCTTTACCTTGTTCCCGTCCTAATCTCATCTTTGTCTCCCTTCCACTTCTCTCCCATCTTTTCTTCTTCGATCGATTGTTATTAGCCACTTGACTTATTCATTCCAAGCATGCAATTCCCACATTCCTCCATCCTCAAAAGCCTTTGTTGATGCCCTCCCAGCCCGGATTCTCCGTGTGAGACTTGTAGAGGTTGTTTGGCCACGAGGCAGCCGGTGCCTTCATCTTTGGATCGCCAAGGAGGCACTGTCGGACGACAGCGTCACCCAGATCCTTTTCGATCTGAAGCCGAGGATAGGTCCTCTCGAGCCCCTCATCGATTGCTAAGCCCTGGTGAAAGTCCCTCAAGACGGCCAAGCGGACAGTCTTGGCCAATTCGGAGATTCTCTCGGCGATTTGCGGGCTGGTGTGCAGCGCAATGGCGACCCAAACTTCATGACAGTCCTCCTTCGGCTGGGACTGCGACTCCATGAGTGACACGGCGCGGTCGGCACCTTCCACCTCGAAGCGACAAGGCCCGTTGCAGAGCTCGTCAACAGTGCCAAAGTCGTGCATGATGCAGGCCACAAAGAGGTTACGAGACGGCCCAGACTGAGAAGCCGCATAGAGAAAGACGCGGATGCTGTGGTTCAAAATCGAAGTAAGAAGATGGGCCTTGGCCAGCTCGAACGCTGCCGCACAAACGGCGTCTGTCTTGACAATGTCCATGTGTGGGAGGATGAGGCTGTCCAAGGCGGCGATCAACTTTCTCGATTGCTGGGTCTGTCTGCGAGGGGACAGGAGCGACTAGTTCGGAGTCACATTGTATATATTGTTAGCGCGGATTTCGTCTTCGTGTCGCATTGTACCTTTTTAGAACTCCGAGATACAACTTGGTGCTCTGAAGAGCATGAGAGAGCTGCTGAGACGAGCGATTCAGCCGCGATTGTGCAAATCCAGCGGCGGCGACAAGGATTCCTACTGTCACCATCTGGCTTCGTGGCGCTGGCCGTGCCACGCGTCACGGCCTCATTGCGCTCTCGTTTGCCTCTCCCTTTTTATCACGATATGAGTAGCCAGAGAGAGTTTAAGCTCCGCCGTCCGTGCAGGAACCCCCACTCTGACGCCCTTGTCTTTGCTCTTTTGCCTGCTCTGGACGGCTTAACCGCGCGGGGGGCCAGTAAATGGGTTGTTATTACCGGCGACTAAACATGAGTACGGAAGTATCCTTTTTAGTGTGAAACAACATTGGTCTGTCGGGAGAAAGACAGGAGAGCATAAGAGGAGGACAACGCCCTACTCGCGAAGAGGAAGTACTAATAAACGTCAATTCTCGGCAAAAGAAAGGTACACGTAAAAGGTACAGATTAACAAATTAAGCCTAGGTGGCAACGACCGCATGGTCATCCCGACACAGTTACGCAACTTCTGATGCTAAATGATGGTCAATGGTAGTCGTTTGAAAGTTGTCTAGCCTCACCCTTCTTTCCCTCACTCAAGAACTCCTCCATTCGCCATCACCTTTACGACCTCACCGCCCGACCTGAATTTCTCCAGCTCGAACCTCCTAACCTCACCGGCACCTTCGTCGTCCGTCCACCATGGCTAATCTCAACGCGAGCTTCATGCTCGAGCCTTCCCCCTACTACCCCGATTGGAAGTTTGACTATTCCGCAAGGCTGATCTACGGGCCCTTGCCTAGTTTTGCCGTCAATCTGCCCCTTGTCGCCGGCTTCTTTGGCACGCTGTGCGTCGTCACACCCACCTTTGTTCTCTTCAGCAGCCAGAGAACACGAGCCAACCCAATCTTCTGGATCCAGCTTCTGTCACTCTTCCTCGCGATGGTCTACGCGCTTCTAGGCGTCGCTGAATATTCTCTGGCCATGGAGTACTCGTGGGAAGTCTACCAGCCATTCAAATTCAACAACATGGCCAATGCCGAAGCCGTCTTCCAATTCATTGTCCCGTACGTCGCCGATATTCCCCTTATCTTCAAGATTCTCGCATTCTACCCCTCGACGGTCTACTCGCACCGCCGTCGAGCCCTTATGGTGGCCTTCCCCATCTTCATGAAGCTACCACGGATCTCGATTATCATCGTCTATGCTTACGAAAGCACCAAATTCGGCCGTACAGGCGGCTACCCCGCCCTGTGCATCCTGCTCGAAGCCCTTTTCCAGGTCCTCGACAATGGCTATTCGTCCTCGGTGCTCCTGTACAAGTGCGTGCAGTTCTGGCGACTCCGCTCAAAGGCCTCAGCGCACACTACGACAAAGGGCCGGCTTCGGCTTCGATTCCTCATGGAATCCCTCTTCCTCACCTTCTTTCCCGCTATTCTGGTTCAAATCTTCATTGTCGGCTTCACGGCGCCTCAACCGCTCTCGGTCAAATTTTCAGAAGAGTATGCATTGACGCAGCATTACGGCGCTCCTGGGTACGTGTATTCCGGGATGGCCATCCTCATCTTCCTCAATGTCGTCGTCACCGTCTACTCGTCTATCTTGGCAACTTCCTGGACGTCGCTGCGCGAGAACACCCTGAATCGCAAGGCGCTTCTCTCGTCGTCCCGTTCGTCAAGGCAGCAGGAGCACCAGAAGCTACGCGAGACGGAAGAGCAAAAGACTCCCCCTCGGGCCCCTCAGGTCCCTCAGGGTGGAGCAGGCCTCACGATGAGAAGGGCACAGAGGCCTGAAGATACCTCCTTGATTGCGTCGATGTTTGCCGAAGACAACTTCGGTAGCACCAGTGAAGAGATTGAGGAGCTCGCCAGCGTCCAGCTACCCAACACCTCATCTCAAGATAGCTCAGAAGACGGTCGAAACTACGGCGAATGGAGGCGGCATCGATAGACTTTCCTGCTAATTCTCAAGTCGATGCAATACCATTTTTGCTCGATTCGGTCGAAGTTCGCCGAATGATGCACCTTACTGCTGGCATTGGTTCGCCGGCTGTGTGCGAGGGCCTCTGCTACTCGTTTCACGGCACTTGGCCGATCATGCGTACGCGTTGCGCAGTAAAATGCGAGGCGTCTCTTCCTGCGCTTGGGATACGAGTGAGCACGACGCACTATCGCACAAAGCCAAACAAGGTAAGGTGCAGTGCTTGCGCATGAAGGCAGCACTTGAAAAGCCTACAGTAAGAACGTGTGCCTCCGGCCCGTATATCTTGCAATGACTAAGTCTACAGAAGCCTGCGTGGGTATCTTCTCACATCTCCTATCCCGTCTCCTCCCTTCTCTTCTCTTTCGAAACATTTGGACCAGCCAGCTCGAGAGCACTTCAAGCATGATCACGCTTGACGCTCGGTCGGACCTGTCGCGGCCCTCTCGCTATGACCCTCATTGGGAGTACAATTACTCGGTCCAGCGTTACCACACGACACTCAAGGGTGTCTATCTGCGTCTGCCTCTGCGAGCCGCCTTCTTTGGCACGTCAGTCCTCGTCACGTTTGCCTTCGTCCTCCTGTCAACGCCGAGGGCTAGGTCGAGCTGTATCTTCTACCTTCAGCTCGCCTCCCTCCTCCTATTCATGTCCTACCTGCTCTTGGACATCGTCGTATTCGGCCATCTTTACATCAAGGAAATGTGGCCCATTCTCGAAGTAGATCGCCTCAGGCGCTTCACCTGGGCAGGGTATGCCCTCCGACAACTCAATCCCTGGTTTGCAGACATTCCCCTTATCTTCAAGATCCTCGCCCTCTACCCAACATCACTGAACACCACGCGACGCCGGATGGCTATGGTAGCAATCCCCGTCATCTTGAAGGTGCCCCGAATGGGCCTCACCATCAGTTGTGCAATCGAGCAGCTGACCAGGACCGAGCTCCAAAATTATTATTTGGGCGTCAATCTCCACTATCTCATCGAGGGCTGCCTCCAAGTGATAGATAATGGCTACTCCTTTTGCATCCTCCTGCACAAGTTACACCAGCTTCAGCAAGCCAGGAGTCAGACGCACGTACATTCGTCGTCCAGGTCCAAAAGGCGGCTTCGTTTCCTCTTCGAAGCGCTGTTCCTCACCTTTTTGCCCGCCCTCATCACCCAGATTCTTCTTGTCGCTTTTCTCGCAGCCATTCCGCTGAGGCCGCACAGCACGCGAAAAGCTAGTTTCCCCATAGCCCGCGGCGGCGAACATCTCCTCTTCACAAATGTCGTCGTGACCGTCTACTCGTCAATCTTGGCTACCTCATGGACCTCGCTCAGGGAGTCAGGGTCGAAGCGCGAGGATGAGCCCATGGTCAGCGACCATCAGCACCGGCTCGCCACATTAGGGCGGCGGCAGCGCATAGGGTCAAATTCAGCCTCTTCGTTAACAAAGTGGCGACGAGCACAACAGTTGAAGCAATCAAAAAATGCCGAAAATCGGTCTCTTTTCGCTTCCATGTTTGCCGACGAAGATCACGAAGACATCAACGATGAGATTGGACATGTCCTCCATCGCAATGGCTACCAAGGCAGTAGCATTACTGATAGCTATCAATCTAGTTATTGAAGGACTCTCTCTCTCCATGAGCAGACCCTTAGTTAGGGCTGTGTGGCTTTCGTTTCCGAGACTATCTGTTCCATAGACCGCTACAATTGAGACTAGATCGAGATAAACGAAACGCACGCGCGAAAATTTCTTAGGCCACATTCGCAGAGGCAGGGAAATGCACGTTGGCCCGAGCGCACGGGGCAAGGATGGGGGCATCTCCGCCCCAGAGGTCGTCTAGGCTTCGCTCCTGACCTAACCACTACTGAGCGACGAGACGATGAGCACCTACAAGATTCTGACGGGCGTCGGTCTGACGGCGTCGTCCTTTGCGCTGTACTCCAATGTCGGCGCGTCCGTCTTTGGCGTCATGCCCCTGATTCTCAGTCCACAGTCGAAGAAGCAGGCCAAGCTCGACACCGAGCAGTCTGTCTATCTCTGGGACTTTTTCTTCAGCCGTGCCGCTGTGAGTCGCTCCGCTTCTGAACCCCATCTGCCTAGTTCTTGGCTGAGCCGCCTCTTTCTTTGATCCCATTGCAGGGACCTCTGGTGGGAGCGTTTGCTATCAGCGCCAGCTCGTACCTCGCCGCGTCCTTCTACGTGCCAAGCTTTGTGCTCCTCGACAAGAACTCGCCCATCACCAACGTCAAGCAGCTCAAGTGGATCCTTCGTGCTGCTGCCGGCCTCTCTATTGCTCCTCTTCCCTTCACTATTGCCTTCAGTGAGTTTTGCTGTCTCTCCTTCACCTCCTCCCCTGGCTGGCGTTCTCTCTGCTAATTACCCTCCTCCCACTCTTCGTTTCTCTCTCAGTCTTCCCATCAATCAAGTCGCTCCAAACGTATGTCAAGAACAAGCGTGGAGAAGCGACGATCGAGCCAAAGGGAAGTGACAGCGCCACTGTCCACATCGACGACAACACGGCCGAAAAGAAGATCGAAGAGTGGAACTTTTTCCACCTCTTCCGCTACGGCTTCTTTACCACCTCCTGGCTCCTGGGCATGGTGGCCTTTTCGACGTGATGGATGGGTCACCGGACCACTTGTGTGACTTCACCTCTCTGTTTGTCTGTGTCTTCTCATTGGAATCTGCAGTCATTTCTTCTTCTTCTTCTTCTTCTTCTTCTTCTTCTTCTTCTTCTTCTTCTTCTTCTTCTTCTTCTTCTTCTTCTTCTTCTTCTTCTTCTTCTTCTT